AAAACTCGTCATCGCTGTTGTCCATGCCACGGGAGGAGGCGGGGCCATGAAGAGTCGTCGAGCTATCGCGTGGCGTGGTCGATTGAATATTGAATTGAATGCATAACTTTTATGCTCCCCGCCAGCGACCACGGGATGGCTGCGGACGCGCCAAGGCTCGGCGTCATGTGCGACTGACGTCGGGGGTCGCTCTGCAGCCTAACCGGGCAGTGTTGGGAAGTGAACCGCCTAAGGTTCACGCCTAACCCGGCTAATGGACGCAGCTGAAAATCCTGCTCTGGACTCGAGCTGATCTCGTCTTGTCCAGCTCTTTCCAGCTGTTGTTCTGGCTCGAGAGGGCCTTGTCTTTTTGCGCTCGCCGCCAGCAGGTGATCGTCGCTGGCCGTCCGTGTTTGCCGGCTCCGCCCAGCCGCATTCATCAGATTTACTCCCTTCACATGAAAAGTCACGGTCCCTCTGGCCACGTCCTCAACCACCATCCACCCCCGAATCGTTGAGTTGCTGCTGGCGCTGGCCGTAGCACCTCCCGACTACACGAACACCTTTCCACCGTTAGTGGATGCGAGTGTCTCTCTCGACTCGTCACAATGGCTAGAACACGCAGGAACGTGAGGTTCCAGCATCGGATAACAAATGGCGTCGAGCAGCGGCGACATAGCTCCTCCGACATAAGCGATGTGGCCTCGGAGCCGGGAAGTCCAGGGAAGAATGGCAGCATCTCCAAGTCCGAAGTCATTGTGGAGGAGGTAGGCTTGCCGTCATTTTCCAGTTTTTGTGCTGGGGACGATTGCTAACACGCTCAGAAATCGGTGGCTCCTCCCATGTCGGAGTACGAGAAGAAGAAGCAGACGTTTATCACTCGGACGATCTGGACGTTCGTCATGATTGCGGGCTTCTTCATTGCCATGTTCTCCGGCCACATCTATGTGATTGCGATCGTTACTGCGGTGCAGATTCTTTCCTTCAAGGAGGTTATCGCGATTGCCAACGTTCCCAGCAGAGAGAAAAATCTGCGGTTCACCAAGTCTCTCAATTGGTATTTTCTGGCGACGACGATGTACTTTCTCTATGGAGAAAGTGTCATTTACTACTTCAAACATGTGTTGCTGGTGGATAAAGTGCTGTTGCCTTTTGCGACGCACCACCGCTTCATCAGCTTCATGCTTTACGTCATGGGTGAGTCCCGTCTCCTAGAACGAGTCAAGTCGGGCTAAGCTGATTTTTTCCAGGATTTGTCTTCTTTGTGGCCACACTCCAAAAAGGTCACTACCGGTTTCAATTTACTCAATTCGCCTGGACTCACATGGCGCTCTACCTGATCGTCGTGCAGGCACATTTCATCATGAACAACATCTTTGAAGGCATGATTTGGTTCTTCCTGCCTGCGTCGCTGGTCATTACCAACGACATTTTCGCCTACGTCTGTGGCATCACGTTTGGCCGAACGCAGCTCATCAAGCTGTCGCCGAAGAAGACGGTCGAGGGATTCGTGGGAGCCTGGATTTGCACGATCATTTTCGGTTACCTGATAACCAACATCTTGATGAGCTACAAGTACTTTATCTGCCCTGTGACGGACCTTGGTTCGAACGTGTTGACCGGCTTGGAGTGTACACCCAACCCTGTCTTTGCGCCAAAGGAGTACAGGCTCCCGGAATGGACGGGTTTGCCCCGGACGGTCCATGTTGCTCCGATGCAGTTCCATATCCTGGTGTTTGCGACCTTCGCCTCGCTCATTGCGCCGTTTGGTGGATTTTTCGCGTCTGGGTTGAAACGTACATTTAAAATCAAGGACTTTGGCGAGTCGATTCCGGGACACGGCGGCATCACGGATCGTATGGACTGTCAGTTCATCATGGGGTTCTTTGCGTATATGTACTACCACACGTTCATTGCGATACACAAGGCCAGTGTTGGCGACATCATTGAGACGGCAATCACGGGGTTGACGGCTGATGAACAACTCGAACTGGTCCGGGGTCTCAGCAAGTATCTCTACAACCAGGGAACTGTTTCGGAGAAGGTATGTCAACAACTACTCGTCACTAATTGCATGGCTAACTAAGACTCCTGCAGGTCCTGAGTTGTCTTAACGGAGAACTTGTGCGGCGGTGAACGAGCGCAGAAACAATTGATCTTAATACTCCATTCTCCACTCGATGATGATTTTTTCCCTTTTTCTCAACTGCTTGCGGAAGGCTTTTCTTTACTTCACTTTGTTTGCATGACCAGATGACAGTAATGTCGTCGTGTCTCGTCCTATAGTATTGTGTAACTTGCCTTGCAAGCTCCTTCTCCTTCTCCTTCTTCTTCTTGCTCATTCTGGCTTTTTGTATGAACAAGAAAGAAACTACTTTTTGGGATGTCCGTTCATGTCAACTCAACTTCAAGCATTGTCATTTTTTTTTAATGTGGCTTTGATTAATCTCTTTGGCTGGTGATGTTGATGCCAGCTCTGCTCCGCTCCGTTCCCGGGAGGGCGTCTTCTACTGCTAAATTCTGCATGAACGAGGGAGGATGAACAAGGGAGGATAAACGAGGGAGAAATGGAGGAAGGAATGGGGCCTTCTCAACTTGGAATCGAATCAATCCAATCCAATCCAACGGAGCAGATGAATGTGTGTGTAAAAAAAAAAAGCAGGAAAGAGAGAGAGAAGAATGAAATAAGAAATAAAAAACATGCCCGTTAAACAAAAAAAAACAAATACTAAGAAGACAGAGAGAAAAAAAAAGAAGGAATAGGAATGAAATTAGATGAGAGAAAAAAATGAACCAAAAAAAATGAATAACTTAATAGCCTTTTTTTTTCTCCTTTTTTTTTCTTTCATATTTCTTTTTTCTTTTCTTTTCTTTTCTTTTCTTTTCTTTTCTTTTCTTTTTTTTTTCTTTTGGCTCATAGGTATGTATGTCAGCGGTATACCTAAAGTATGTATGGGTACCTAGGGATGGATGTATGTGTTAACGACTCCATGACTCCATGACCCCTTTTTTTTTTAAAAAAAAAAGCTTTTTTTAAATAGCAGTACAGTACAGTACATCTATCTGATCAATGTCAATGTCCATGCAAAGCGAACTTTTAATTTTTTTCCTGGCCATTCCTTCCTTCCCACCCTCTAATAAACCGAACCGAACTGAAATAAGACAAGAACGCCCAAGACCAAAACAAAGCAGACAGAACAGAACAGAACAAACGCTGGGGTATCACTCTGACATACATAGATCGTCTCGTCTCGTATCATCTCGGAAAATGAAATCAAATCAAATAGAATCAAGCCAAATCGAATCGTGTCGATCGATCGATCGTCAGACTACTCCTCATCAACAACATACTCCTCCACCTCCTCTCGAAAGTACTCCGAAACGACCCTCTTCTCCGCCTCGGCGCGGTCCGGGTCGAGCATGAAGCGGACGGTGCCGTCGCGGCCGCGCTCGTTGAGGTTGGGTTTCTCGCCGTTGGCAGAGATGGGCGTGAGGGGGTTGGCGGGGCGGGTGTCTCTGTCTCCGCCGTCTTTCTCCTTGCCTTTGGGAGTGGGGTTTTTATGGTGGTGGTGATGGTGATGCTTGGATCCGTTGGAGAAGAGGTTGTCTTTCTCTTTCTCTTTCTCTTTTTCCTTCCAGAAAGTATATCGTGGGAGGTTCTTTGATTCAGCCTCCTGGTTGAGAGGGATGCGGATAGTGAGGAAGGCCTCCAGAGGGAATTCAGGTCCGACGGCCGTGTTGGTGCGGTGGTTGGTGTAGAGGTCCAGCAGGTCGAGCAGCGTTTCTGAGAATAGTTAGTCCTGCCTTAGTCCCGCTTTGTCGTGCACTGTCTAGGGAATGGGTTTCCTACCCATGACCTCTGCGCGGCCTATCTTCCAATTCTCGTAGTCTTTGCCAGACTCGACATCGTCCAGCCCAGCACCGACCAGCCGAGAAGCCAGCTCGAGACAGGCAAACGCCATGGTGGCCGTGGTCTGCTTGAGAGGCGCGAACGTGCGGTACAAGTCGAGAGAGACACAGTAAGCGACGAGGCCGACTTCATCGTCCCTCTGCACGCCGTAGCGCTTGCACAGCTTGACGAGCAGTTTCTGGGGATGGCGGTTGCGAAAGTCGAAGCCAGACGCCTCCAGCATCAGCCTTTCCAGGATGATGATGCCTCTGGAATGGGCGTCGAACAGCTGCGAGAGTCAGAGGCACAGACATGGAAAGTTAGTTGCAATCAATTCAGGCTCACCGAATCGTCCGGAGCCAGATGCTCCGCTGGAGGCAGCTTGAGATTGTACGCCGCACAGACAATCTCGCGCGACTTTTTCAGCGTGTCCTCGATCTTGCACGCCGTGAACAAGGCCGCGGCGGCAGCATCCTGTCGGCAGTCAGTCACCTGATCGGGACAATGACAGCAAATACCAACCATGTAGTTGTAGTGGTTGTCCGCATGGACAAGCCTGAATTTGTGGAAATACACGCATGCCGTGTTGTACGTACGGACGGGTCTAATACTTATTAGCTGGTAAAAGACGTAATAAAAGACTTGTTTAAAACCTACAAATGGAGCGCCTTGCGCACGTTGTCAATCCAGGTAACGCCTTGGATCCGGATGCTGTCCTCCCTCTGGGGATCGACACCCGTCGCGGCGAGGCATTCCTGGATGGTCTGCTCAAAGACATAGGGTTTAGCAACCTGTATGAACGACGGATGCGGTTGAGATGGTTTTTTGTTAGCCTCGTCCGGAGGGCCTTGGTTCTGTCCCTGGCTCTGTCCCTGGCCCTGACCCTGCTTCGACGAGTTGGCCCCCTCCGGACGCGCGGGGTCGTTCCTCGCGGAAGCCATCTTGGTCCTGGACTTCCTGAGCTTCAGGGAATTGTCGACCATGTCGAGCTTGCGATGCCGCGGATGCCAGTCGGGGTGGGTCATTCACGGGTCAACTTTTCTCCGGTTATCAAGATGTAAGATACGGAGTAGTCACGGGTGGAAGAGAAGAAGAGGTTCACATTTCTGCACAGGCTTTTTGTGAGCAGAATTTGTTTGTTTGGTTCTCGGCGTGAGTAGTGAATTCTCATGACAACCTACAACACAGGTAATTAGAGTTGTGTTTTGCATAGAATGTAACTAGGATTAGATAATTTATCTCGTATCTCGATCTCAGCTGAATTGTCCTCTTCTAGAGTGACAGCACAGCATTTGGCTCGCCCTGTTACTTGTCATCAAAAGACAGCTGATGGTGTGCAATTACTGATAAATTACTGGTGCAGTGTTAAATACAGAACCCCCTGGTCCAAAGAATATCCATATATCTTATATTCTATACAGAGGTAGTAATAATAATAACAATAATTCATTGCAATGAAGACAGAGAAATGCACTTTGCCAGAAAATCAGAACAAGAAAGTCATTTTGTTTCTCTCTCTTTCCCCCCCCTCCCTCCTCCCCACTCGTACATCGACTCCCGTGATGGTGCAATCATCCATCCCATCCCATCCCATCCCACTTGACACCTTCCCCGCATTATATGGAGACAGGAGACGTCAAGCTGACTAAACAATCGATCGAACGATAAATCGACACCACTGGACATCTTCTCCAAATACAGATAAGATTGGCTGATTCTCTCTCTCACAGAATCACTTTTCTACTGATATATATTTCCGTGTTCAACAAGAAAACAGATTTTTAAAAAGAAAATGCCCACCCACCCCGACGCCAACATCCGTCCCGAGGCAACGGGCCCAGCAAAAAGACTGGTCGAGCAGCATGCGGCCGAGCAGCCGCTGAAGCTGTATGCGGGGTGGTTTTGTCCGTGAGTATCTTCTTCTTTTGTCATCTTCTTTCTTTTTCGAATCTTCGTCTTTCCCTGATTTTTTTTTTCACGCATATACTGCCTGTTTTTTTTTGGCATCCTACGTTGAGTTTCCTGAATTCATGATTGAATCTAAGCAAGAATGAAGAGCAATTGATTGATCGTTCATGATCTATTATTGCTCTACTCCCTCCTCCTCAGTCTTACTTACATCAGCTCTTTTTTTTTTAATCCCTTCTTTTCCTTTCTTAATTTAATTTCTTTTCTTTTTTTTCTCCATAAAAACGTGTGTTTTATTATGAGCGTTCGTCTCTGCTTCAAGATCCTGTTCTACATCTGGGTTGTTCTTCCCTGCACGAGGACTCTCCTGTGTTGTTTTCTCTGATCGATCGATATATCTGCTGCTAGAAAGAAAGAGATGTTTATTCCTGAGGACCATGTCTCCAGCATTCGTTCCATACTGACAGATCGAAAATGCAACGAACAGCTTCGGTATGTCTCATCCCTGCCATTCTCAATTGCCGTTAAGGCGCCCTGCTAACGCAACCCTACTATTATACTATATTACTAGTGCAACGCGTCTGGCTCGCCCTAGAAGAAAAGCACATCCCCTACCAATACATCGAAGTGAATCCCTACCACAAACCCGCTTCTCTCCTCGCGCTCAACCCGCGCGGGCTCGTGCCGACCCTTTCCGTGCCTGTGGCCAAAAACCCATCCGTCTCGAAACAGAAACCTCTCTACGAGTCCACAGTCATCCTCGAGTATCTTGAGAGGCATTCCCTGACTACAGGCCACGGCTTCTCCCCGACGATCCGTACGAGCGCGCCCGCGCCCGTATATGGATTGACTATGTCACGTCGCGCATCATCCCGGCTTTTCACCGTTTCCTGCAGTATCAGCCTCCTGAGGGCGCGTCAGAGGATGCAGCCGCAGAAGGACTCGCCAAAGTCCGCAGCGAGTTCCTAGGCCATCTGAAAGAATGGACCAGGGCAATGGATCCCGAGGGGCCGTATTTCCTGGGGAAGGATCTCTCTTTGCCGGATGTGGCGCTGGCGCCGTGGGCGATCCGGCTCTGGGTGTTTGACGAGTTTAAGAGTGGAGGACTGGGTATCCCGGTCGAAGGGAGTGCAGGCGAGGACGAGCCCGTCTGGCAGAGATGGCGCAGGTGGTTGACGGCGATTGAGTCGAGGCGCAGCGTCCAGGAGACGACGAGCGAGAAGCAGTACTACCTGCCTATCTACAAGCGGTATGCTGATAATGTTGCCCAGAGCGAGTTGGCTAAGGCTATCCGAGCGGGGAGAGGTGTGCCGTAGTAGACAAGATAGATGCATGCACAGTACATACACATAACAACGTATATATTTTTATAGGATATACATGTACATACATACATACAACTGGTATCATTGTTCTTTGGTGTCTATGTGGAGGTGTATGCGTATTTCACGCCTTGCCCCCATACTTCTTGATCAGCTTCTGCATGATCGACACTGCTCCGGAGCGGTATCCTCCGCCAAAGATGGCATGGTGATTCAGATGATGGTACCTCGCCAAAGTCAGCAAAAAGCCTTTATTTTTTTTCCCCTGTCGAGTACACTTACAGCTCGTACAACTTCACGCGATCCTCATACTCCTCCACCGGCTCCGTCTTGGGCACGATGCGATGGTACTCGTTGAAAAAGGCCGGACCAAACCCGCCAAACATGTGCATAATGCCCAGCTCGTACTCGCTGTGCGCGTAGCAGGCAGACGGGTCGTAGACGACTGCGCTGTTCTCGGCCGTTTCATCTTCTTTCCGCCCGCTGCCCACGATGCGGCCGCGACTGGCGTTGCCGCTCCACAGGTCGCCGTGCACGACGACGGGGACAATCCCTTCGCCATGGCCGTTCCGGTCGTAGCCCAGATGCCCGTCGCCCAGCAGCGCGGGCACGACGGTGGTGGCTGTCCGCTCGACCAGCTCGCGCAGCGCGGGGTCCTTGCCGTTGCGCCGCTCCGACTCCTGCAGCACGGTCATCAGGCGCTCGTTGGCGTAGAAATCCGCCCACGACTCGCGGAACCGGTTCGGCTGGCGCGTGTCGCCGCAGTACGTCGGCACGGGGAAGCCAAACAGGCGTTTCCCCGTCTTGGGGTCTGGCGGCGCAGGCGTGCTGTGCAGCTTGCCCAGGCGCTGGGCCAGCGATGACTGGGACGAGGAGCGCCCGCCGCCTCCTCCGAGGTCGAGGAACTCCGTCACCAGGAAGAAGTTCTTCCCTTTCTTGCTGCTGCCATCATCCTCGTCGAGGGGCCCCCACGCTAGCGCACGCGGACAGAAACCAGGCACGATCGAGGCGATCGCGTTCAGCGACTCGTATTCCCCGTGAAACATCTCCTCGGCCGCCTTGCCATCGCCGGACGTCTTGACGAAGTACTGCCGTTCTTCTTCTTGTCCCTCGCCTACAGGGACACTGGCACGGATGCGACCCGTGGTCGAGAAGCCGGAGCCGAGATTGGACGTTGACAAGCTGGATTTGGACGGGTCTAGGGGAAGCCCGAGAGCGCGGAGGATGGCGGTAGGGACAGGAGGCATTTTGAAGAGCCGATTCTCGTGAAGCCCAAAAAAAGGACGATGTGTATGATGGAAAAGGGCACTCGGCGAGCTGCCCGGTGAGAGATGGGGAGTATCAAGTGTAGATTATTTTGTGAAGAAGAACCAATTGGATAGAAAATTCAACTCGTTTTTCGCCAGCGAGAAACCAGTGTGTCGATCGTAGTTGGAATGAATGAATAGGAGATTGATTGATTGATTGAAGAAGAAATTGGATGATTGAAGTGTTGTTGCGACGGTCGTGGGTCTGCATGACGTTTGCGGGGCTGCAGTTCGATAAGATAAGGACAGTACACAAGTAGTGTTTATGACTGGTTATTACAGTAAACTTCCTACGTCTCTACAAGCCTAGAATTGAGTATATAATTTATTTCAACGCTAATCGGAATGAAGAGCGTAACCTAGAATACACACGGTCGTCATTGATGCCAAAACTCAACGCCACCATGGCCCATCTGATCCAAGTCGTGCCCTTCAATGTACACCTAACCAGACCGAAGAAAAGAAAATTCTTTTTATACAGTAAACGTGCGCATCATGTTGAGTGCCGTCTTGGTGCGTTCCCTCACGTCGAGATCCGGATCCTCTTCCAGGCTCAGGAGCCGATCCATCGCGCCCAGGGCTTTCAGTTTGAGCGCACGTTCTTGGCACGCTTGGTGGTCGCTATGGTCGTCTTTGAAGGTCAGATTGAGGACCGTCCACACACAGTTCACCCGCACGTAGCGGTTGGGGTGGTTGAAAAAGCTCATCAGATTCTTCATCAAGTCATAGTGCGAGAACAGCAGCTCTCGATGCCGCTGGTTCCCGGCTGCAAGATGCACGATCACATAAGTCACGGCGATCAAGATCTCCACAGGGACCGGTGTGATCGACTTGGGCGAAGTTGAATCTCTCCGGCTCGGAACCGGGGCACTCCGCGGTCGGAGCTTGTCCGCCAGACTATCCAAAACCTCGTTCTGCCCCATTTCTCGGAAAATATAGTCGGCCATCTCGGTGGCTCCGGGCCCGCAGATGGTATTGCGGATCAGATCAAACGCCTGTTCCTGCACCGCGATCTCGTCCTGCTGGGCCTCCTTGATCCGATCCATCTCAGCACTCAAGGCCAGTTTGCGTCGCTTCGCCGGGTCGGAAAGATAATAGTCCGTGCTGGACTTGGGTGCATCCGTCATGTGGAGGTCCTCCTCTCGATCTCTTCGGACGTCCTCCATCGGATTCAACAGATCGACCTGTTCGCCGGCCGAGTTCGATGTCCCCATGCCCAGCGTGGATCCATTCTCAAAATCCGTCGTTGTCCCGTGTCTATTTAGTATCTCTACCGGGTCCTGTAGGAGAATTTGCCTCAACCAAACTGGCCCCAGGTCCGCGAGGATCTTGGTCTTGATATCATTGGCGGAGTTGTACGCGATATGCTTGAGAGCCCAAAGAGATTCCAACCGAAGCTTGAGATTAGGAGAGTGAGCATGATCGCAGAGAATGGACAGAATGTCCGCAGAAATGATAGCCTAGGCGTGTCAGTAAAAAAAAATTTTCAAAAAAAAAGGAGAAAGAAATCAAAGCTGTACCTCTTTCATGGGACTGAAATCCAACGCCAGATTCGATATCACCGACGTCGCTGCGATCTGCACTTCGATATCGGGGTGTTTGATCAACACAAAGAGAGGAGTCGCCACCCCAGCATCAATGAGGCTTGTTCGGAGGATGCTCACGGAACGAGTGAGCGATCTGGTAGCACAACAGGCGGCCAGCAACGTCGGCGTCGGGTTGCCATCCGCCACGGTGTTCTTGGTCCCCGTCGCTTCCTCCGCTGGCTGGCTGGGACGCGGCTTCAGAGAGTCGATAATATAGGGCACGGCCCCGTGGTCACAGATGGCCTTCCGGTACTCATCCTTGGAAGGCGCCACGGCAGCAAGCGCCATCAAAATGCTCTCCCGATACCGCAGGATGTGGCAGACCATTGGGAGGTATCCAGCTGGTCCCAGCCGACACTCGGGTGAAGCCTCTGGTTGTGAATCCGTCCGCCTACTCTCGGCATGCCACATGGATTTGGGGTTCTCCTGAAGCGGATTATAGGTCTCCTTGAGCAGTTGCGATAATTTCTTGATCGCGCCTCCTTCGACGGCTGGTTTCTGCAGCTCTTTCGAATCCATGACCAGAGTAGCGAGGACGGACGGAGCCTCCTCTCTCAGGCGAAGCGTCGTCGGGATCAAGCCATCATACTCGGGATCCGACTCATCCTTCATCTCGTAATCTTTATCGAACATCCGAATGAGCACCGGGATCAATAAGTAGCTCAACATGGGTATCCGATGCTCCTTGGCTAGGCCCAGACGGAACAAGACGGTCAGGAGACGGGCAGCCATTAATCGAGTCATGCCCGATTCCGCTCTGATCACATGTAACAGCCACGGTACGATTGCGTTTTCCTCCTCGTCAGGGGCCGATTCGAGATACGTGTTCAGCAGCTGGCCGTGTTTGCCATAGGAACCATGAGGAACCAGGGGTGGGAAGTTACTCGAAGCCTTTGATTGGGGGACAGGAACGGCCGGCAGGATGGTATCGATCGGGTTTGCGATTGGACGAGGCACTGCAAATCCGGACAAATAGGTTGATCCCCAAGGAGCTTTCTTGATGTCTGCGGGGGAGAATTCCGGTAATTGCTTGGGAAACACGGTGACGATCCCCGGTGACGACAGGAAGAGTTCCGCCCGCCATTTGGCATGCTCAATGATCACGGCCACCGCACGCAGGATTGGTGCGAGTCTGGCACCGGCCGGTGCGGGTGGAGGAAATGCGGGTAAAACCCCAGGCTCGTGCAAATGGTTCTCTGCGCCGGGTAGCACGAATCCTTGAGCTACCACGAACGAGGCAACTTTGAACGCGAGGGCATCCAGCACTCCGGCCTCTGCCAGGGCCGACTTGTGTGTTTCCTCCGTGCAGAGTTTCGCAATGAGGCCTGCAGCAAGGTTGACCGAGGACACGGTTGTTTGAGAAGCAGACGTCTGGCTGATGATGTGGGCGAAGCACCCGACGTGCTCCTTGGAGAAGAGGAGCTCGGCGAGTTTGTTATCCTGCGGCCAATTCGGGTTCTGGAGCGGAAAGCGGTCGGCGATGGTGTCAAGGGTCTTGAGAATGGGGAGCGTCAGCCATTGCGGGCAGCCAGGAGACGACAGGATCGAGAGCATCGAGGGCAGAATGTCGCCTGCCAGGATGGGGGAGATGAAAGCCGGGCCACCTGCATGCACCTTGTCAGCACCTGCCCCTACCTGAACCACGTTCCTCTCCGGGAATATTCACCTTGAGCTAAGCTGCCCACGATAATGACCGCCTGGAGACAAGCTTCCTCTTCGTCCGTCCGGGGCCTTGTCGTGTCGCTGTGCTTTCTCGTCCCATTGAGCTCACCCGACGTCGCGGCCTTCTTGCCGTTCCCTCTTCGTAGCGCCAGAACCTTGGAGAGCAAGGGAATAATGCCCCACGAAATCCAGGCCTCTTTCCGCTGGTCATGACCGATCAGCTCGTGCTTCAGAGCTCGCAGAGCGGCCACCTGGTCGGCGAGGGATTCGGGGTTCTGCAGCCTGGCTAGCAGGGGGGACGTCTCCAGTCGCGCCATGGTGAGAGAGGCCCTGCGCCGCCAAGCAGGCTGCCCAAGGGATCGGTCAACAGTCGTTCACAGTGCGAGTTGGGGTGGTGAAGGGAGCAGGACTTGGTCTGGTGCGGAACGTAGGCCGGACTCGCTCAGTGCGAAGGCTCCGATGCGTCAAGGGCGGCGAAACGGCAGGACGGTGATGGGCAGCAGGATGACGTCGACAGGGATGTTGGGCAGATGGCGAGGAGGCACAGTCGAATTGTAGCGTACATGCACATATCACGCCAGGAGGATCTCGAATCGTCTATGGCAGCTTGGCCGGGGACGCACGCGATGGCAGCGGCGCTTGTTCGGCGACAAGTGGACGAGCACAGCTGGCCGCCGCTGACTGGCCTGGCCGGGATGCCCGCAGCGAGGGCGGGCTCCGTACTGTAAGTTACGGCCCAGGCCCGCCTCGGGGCGCGGGGAAAGCGTCCTGTACCGTAACGGTCCACGTGACCAGCATGCTCCAGTCACATGACAATGGTGTCATAGGTCACGTGGTGTATGTGTCACGTGGAGAGGTGTGCTGACATAAGCTGTAGCTGTTGGTGCCCCAGGCAGAAAGTCGATCCCAAGGCATCAAGGCCGGCCGAGTTTTCCGAACGTGCAACGGCTGCAGCAAGATAAGATGATGCTCCAGTGCAGCAGCTAATAAAATCACGCGGTTGGCAGTGCGCCATTTTCCGCTAGCGAGGCCTTTCACCTTTGCCGCCCAACCAGCCGTGGCAGCCTGGCGCGACCCGGCCCCGGGCTTGGGCGGTCCTTGGTAGTCGTATTCCCGTGCCTGCAAACTCTTCTCTTCCATCACCTCGCCGGTGAGAAAGCCATCCCCATCCCACGCTCGACCTGTCTCTCTTCTCTGCTCTCCTCCAGCTTCCAGCGTGGGTGCGTCCGCGGGAGCTCTTGAAGATGCGCCGGAGCATGCTGTCCCCGGAGTCGATGTCTGTTCCTGGCCTGTGCGCGCGTCAACGCCTGCCCCGACGACCTGTCTGCCGAGCACGTGGCCCGTCTGCAGCGGCCTACTCGAGCACTGCTCCGTCTCGCCGCCCATGATCGCCTCGTCGCCCTCGTCCGCCGCCGTGCAGGCCGCGGCATGCTCGCCCTCGCGCTTCGCTGGCCGCTCGCACCACCATGACTCCTCTGCCCATCATCCCCTTGCCCAGCCCTCGTCGTCCCCGCCCATCGCCGGCGGTGCTGCTGCTGCTGCTGCCTTCATCCCCCGTACCCCGTCCCGGTCGCGCCTCGCCCAGAGCGTCGAAGAGATCCGGACGGCCTTGAAGCGACATACCGTGGACGCTGCCTCGCAGTCTTCTCCCTGCGAGCCCTCGGGGGATCATCCTCGCGGCTCCATGCCCGCTGGGCCCGGGTCCCTTGGGGGCGGAACCCGTCTGACGGAGATCAACAACACCACCGCCGCTGCTACTGCTTCTGCTACCACCACCAACGACTCCAAGGCCTCTGTCAAGCCGCCAACATCGTCCGGGGACAGCGGTGCCAAACGCCAGCTGTCGGACGACCAGGCCCAGCATGTGCCTCCGCCGGACCCCACGCTGGTCGCCCTCGAACGGTCCCGGTCCAAACGGGCACGGCCTCCCCAGCCGGCCGTGAAGCTGCTGCCTCGACGCTACGAGCTGGTGCATCCCAATGACCTGGTCGTGCTGATCTCGAGCATGTTGATGGAGCTCATCCAGTACAACGACAAGATCCCCCTGAATGAGGGCCGGCTGACTCGGTTCCACTCGCGCACGCCGCCGCGCATCTCTGTCCGTGACTATCTCCAGCGCCTGACCACGCACGCGACCTTGTCGCCTCCGATCCTCCTGAGCATGGTCTACTACATTGACCGACTGTGCGCGCTCTACCCGGCCTTTACCGTGTCCAGTCTCACCGTCCATCGATTCCTCATCGCGAGTGCGACGGTAGCCAGCAAAGGTCTGAGCGACAGCTTTTGGACGAACAAGACGTATGCTCGAGTGGGCGGGATCAGTGTCGCCGAATTGGCTCTGCTGGAGTTGGAGTTTCTGTGGCGGGTCGAGTGGAAGATCGTGCCGCAGCCCGAAGTGCTGGTCGACTACTATCTGAGCCTGGTGGAGCGGTGTGAAGGATATCAGCTGGAGCCAGAAGACACCGCGTCAGCTGGTCCGAATGCGGTGCAACAACAGCCTGGTGGTGGCGCCAGGTGAGGAATACCCGCAGACGGTGCTCGCATTGTTAGACGACATTAGATTGGGTCCGTTTCATTTCTGCATAAGATTTGCGATTTTCTTATCCAGACGATCGGATTGTCTTTACTTTTTTTATTTCTTGCCGGGATTGAGCTGGTTACTTTTTTTCTTTTTTTTTTCTGGACAGGTACCGTTCATGCTGAGTTTTTTTTTTCGGGGATCTAGGTGTGGGTTGGTGTTGAGTGATACAGATTTTTTTTTCTTCAAGAGGTCGGGCAGGCGCCTGGTGATTGTGCAATTATGTTCATATTTTCTGGTTTATGGTTAGCATAATGAAGTAATCTATGTACATCAGTAGTACTCCGTACAAAGGAGAACATTGTTTTGAGAATTGAGATTGCTCTGATCGATCGTCATGCGGAGATCGGCAGGGAGGCGAGCCAAGCATTCTTTCTGCGCCGATCTTCCGTCAGCCGTCTCGTGACTCTCGTCCGCCATTTAGTTAATTCGCCAGGGCTTAGGTCATAGGGTTTAGGGTTGTTCCTAACTTCTCGTGGGGAAGCGCGGCAGAAAAGTCAGCATCCTGTACTCCGTAATTATACCTAGATAAACAACGGGGAGATTAATAGCACGTCACTTGGATCCCCTTCCCGTTCTAGGGCTGGAGTCTGGAGGCACGCCGCCTTTTGCTCACCCACCCCTGCCGTGAGGCTGGGTTCTAAGCGCTATCTATTCTGTGTCAAAAAGACCACAGGATGGCGGCCGTTAGGCGCCATCTGTCCAGTACCCGCCTACCTATATATTAGTAGGTCTCTAGGCTGCGCGCTACAGCTCCTGAGGTGATATACCTGTCCTACAGTACTTGCCGTCTTAGGAAATTTAACTAACAGAAATCAGCCAATGCCAGTCTTGTACAAAGGCGCGAGAAGGATCTGAGCGCACCATAGGATTACATGACTCTTTTCGATCATGGTCGAAAAATGAGGTTGTTGGACGTGATAAATACTTTGAACTATCATCGAAAGGATGCTTCGTGGTGTTGAGTCCGCCCCGTGGAATCATAAATGTCACATGATCCCAGGCGGCTGTCCTTCGCTACTTCCCAAATTATTACTTCCTCCCATGCAACCCATCATTACCATATAATACCAATTATCACATCCGAATCATGTCCTCATCTCCGGATATGTCTACTCTCACCATATCAACTGCTGGGGAAGACCCCGAGTTATCTCTGGAAATCTCGTGCCCTGAGTCGAAACCAGAAGACAATTCATCAGGAAAGACTGAGACTCCAGAGCAGGTTTCAAGTTTGAATGAATTGACAAAGATACTTCGCAATTTTCTTGGTGGCACAGGAGAGACAGACCTGAAGTTACATATAAAAGAGACATTGATATATACCAAAGATATCAGGAGAATTCTAAGGGGCCATCGGGCAACATATGACCCTGAGAAATGCATCCTGATAAAGGGGATGTCAAGACCATTACACGACTCCATTTTTCACCTTGCTTCTTTATTTCTTACCAAAGCCTCATAGAATGGCTTTCTTATGCATAAGGAATCTCGTCTTTTGCAGCTCTTAGGTCAAGCAGAGATGCTTGCTGGGAAGACCAACGGTACACTGAAGAAGGTTGAGGCTTGGACAAAATATCCTGATGCCTCTATTCTCTTTGAGGATCCTGAGTCACTTGATACAACACCGACTATTATATTTGAAGTTGGGTTCAGAGAAAGCCACCAGGATCTGCTCAGCGACATGAAATAGTGGTTGACGAAAAGTTGGGTGGATGTGCAATTGGTCATTCTAGTCGACATCAACGAGGATGAAAAACTCCGCAAGACCTATCAACAAACACCAGGAAGTCTAAGTCGTGTTGCCAAACTTCTCAAAGACTACGGAAATGCCAAGGGCAAAGCCGCTCATCAGCAAGGGGAAAGTGAGACCGGAGAGTCCGAAACAGAAGAGGAAATTGAGTCGGACAAGTCAATCAAGCAACATATTGTGGTAGAAGATTGGGTCGGACCAATCACTGTTAACCTGGAGTTCTGGGAGCCAGGGCCTTCAGGACCTCAGAAACGTGGCAGCAGTTTAGTAAGTTATTTACTTATCCATTGACCCTGAGGGACACAAAGTTTCCTCCTGTTCCGCAGCGGCTGCCCTGCTTCTCACGAAGACCGATTTTCAATCTTATACCCGGAATAGGTGGTGGGGGGGCGGGTTGCTCTGGCCGGCTTCTATATCCCCATTCTTAAAGACTTTGCAAGTCAATTGCTAACCTTTGTTCACAAATTGTAGTGTGTCATGCCCCCAGCCTTCAGGAAATGCCCCGCCCATATATATCACCGACCTGATACCTTCCAAGTACTACGATACAATTCCGGAGTTTGATTCATCCCGAAAGGCCTACTTAGAGATGGATTCGTTCCGAAAATACCTATCAGTGGGGATCAAGAAACTTGCCTTTTTTTTCGTGCAATGAACTACATTCGCCCACGATCGAAGGAATCTGATTAAAATCGCAAGCAATGAGTTCGACAAGACACCGGTGGTAGATTACAATACTTGGACTATTAGGAGGGCCTTTTACTGCAGGAATGGATTCTCACTATCAATGCTATTAAAAGTCTTTTCTTAATTTGTCTTTTACCAAAACTAACCTCTAAACTTAATTATAATAGAGGAGAGAGATAGAAAGGGCTCTATATAATAGTAATAGACCAACAACTTGTTCTTGCCGCCGTCATATTTATTTTAAATAATAGCTTGTTGTCTAGCTAGATATCAATCGAGGAGACTAGGCCCTTACATATAAAAGACCTAGCAACTTCCACTGAGATAATACCATATAGTGAGTGGTATCTAACCTTATACTTAGAACCTGATTCTAATTAGCTTATCTCTAAACCCCTATACCTCTAATTTTAGGTTCCTATTGCTAAATTTCTAGTTGACTTAATTGCTTTTTAAGAGAAGCCCCAACTAATCTTTTAGCCTTTACCAATATCTTATTCTTCTTCTTTTTTTTTCTTATTGTATCTCTTTATTAATATATTTTTATTGGACTAAGGTTATAGAGCCTATATAAGTTATACGAGCCTTTATAATTCTAGGAGCTAGACTCTTATAGAGGTAATTGCTAACTTTCTACAGGTTATAAAAAAGTTGTTTAGTATAACTATGTAGTTAGTTCAAATTAGATCTTAACTATTGAAGATTCACTTCTTTTTTTTTAATATAATAGCTTGGACTTATAAGCTAATTAAGCAAACATAGAGAGGACATCCCAAAAAAAGAGGAAAGCTCCGCATCAAATAATACCATGGGGCAGGGTGAGGATGGGGTGAGGAGGGGGAGGGAGGTGAGGCAAAAGCGGCGGGCCGCACACACTAATCAGACAGTTCAAGTTGCACATCTCCCTATAGATACCTACCTAAGGTAATGAAGCAAAACCATATATTTATCCAGCGAATTAATTAACCCAGTGAGACAAGACAGAATGTGATTGATGATGATATAGAATACCTGTCCCAGGACATAAATGTTCTTCATCTTCTCTTGAATCAATCAATCTCTTCCGTTCTCATGCGCCGCAACCGCCAAGTCCAATTTCTTCGTTGAAATCGCATCATGAAGGAGGAGAAGGAGATGGCCTCCTTCTCTTTGAGAGATGTCCAGCCCCTGCAGGGCAGGATTGTGCCTGTGCGAACGGTCCAAGAGACGCAGCCGAAGGAGGAATTTGGTGTGTCAATCGAAATGAAATGAGTTTTTTTTTTTTGCTAACGATTGGATTCTTTCCAGCCGATGCGTATGTCGCGGAGGTTAATCAGAGGTCTGCGTCGCAGGTGATCAAGTAAGTATACTCGACAAAACCTGCCCAAGGGCACCTTTTTTTTTTAAAAAAAATGTCTTTTCTATTTCAGCTTGCTAACGACCGCAGAGCCCTCGACGCTGCTTTCCCCCGTGATCCTACCCTCTCGCTCAACCATCTCCGTCGCTTCGCAAAGGAAGACGTCCTTCCGGATCACCTCAGATCTGCTGCTGCTGCGCTACGGGAACAGCGACAACGATCTCAAGCTCAACAACAACAGACGCTCTACGTCCTCATCTCACCCCCGTTACCCGAGATCTCTGAACTCCAGACCGTTCTTGCTCCTTTTGCGCCCGTGCCACCACCTCCTCCTGTTGTCGCGGAGAAGAATGGCGATAATGACGATGATGATGAAACCGATCCCTCGACAACATGTCCGACAGGACCGAACATCCCCATCCTCAAGACCGAAATCCCGCTTCAGCCCCCGCTGAGCCCGGAACAGGCAGCACGATGGTCGCAGACCATGTGGCCGGTGACATACAACCCAGCCGCACCGAGGGGCATGATCGCGCCGCCTCCGCAGATCCTGCACCAGGCGCAGGAATCGATCGGGCCGCGAGCAGGGTACTATCTCAGTCTGGCGTACCGAGTAGCCGATGACGCCAAGCGGTCCGGACGGGGCCGTGGGGTTGGCGCGGTGGTGGTTGATCCGAAGATCAATGACGATGATACTGGGGTTGACGACTGGGCGCGTGGCGTCGTGGCCGTCGCTGGCGACGCACGATACTGCGCGCCCGGAGTCCCTCCTGAGTTACTGGCTACCGCTGAACCGCCAGCTAGCAGTATATCCGAACTGGCGAGCAGAGGGTACAATCCGGATCTGGAGGGCGGGCCAGAGCTGCACGCCCTCATGCGCGCCGTGGCCATGGTCGCCAGTCGCCGCCGGGCCGATGACTTCGAGGACACACCGGTGGATTTATCATCGTCGGGCGGGGACGGGCCTGTTCACGACCCTCCCTTAACACCGCTAGAGTCGTATTTCCTTTACCTGGAAGAAGAGGAAGAAAAAGCGAACGAACCAGAAGCTAAAGCTGAAGCTGAACCCTCACCCTCAAACGCTAATGCTAATGCTACTGCTAATACTAGCTACAAGCGCAAGCGCACTCGCAACCGCAACCGCATCCTCCCCCGCTCCCAAGGCGGCTATCTCTGCACAGACCTAGACATCTACCTGACACACGAACCCTGCCTCTCATGCTCAATGGGGATGCTACTCTCGCGATTCCGCGCAGTCGTCTTCCCTCGTCGCGGACGGATGGTTACTGGGGGATTAGCTTCGGAGCCTTGCACTACTAGTACTGCTGAGCAGCGAGAGAGGAACTACTATGGCCTCCACTGGCGGAAAGAGCTCAATTGGCGAGCTCTGTGTTTTGAGTTTGTTGAAGAAGATGATCAACATAAACATGAATATAGAGATGAACAGCATGTTGCTTTTCATGCATGAGTGACGTCAATTAAATAAAAATAAGAATAAATAGATGGATGGATGGATAGATAAAAAGACAGGTATAAGCTTCATCTAATTAATTAATACTTAAAATTTTTTATTATTATATTTTAGTATAATGTGCAGGACATACATACAATACATACATACACGCGAGATATGAGAGAGAGAGAGATGAGAGACAGGTTTGCTACACATAAATTGCAACTGAGCTGTATTTTCATTTCATTTCATTTCATTTTCATTGCGAGATTTGATTTGATTTATCTAGCTATCATCGATGGAAATGAAGATATTGGTTAGAGAGTGAGGAAGGAAGGGCTGAGAGAAATCAGTTCATTAGTAGGCATTACCATCACAGATCGATGACAAACAGACGACAGAAACAGACCGTTCCCACCAGTCCATCAGTCCAGATCCAGAGAGCTAGCTAGCTACCTACATAGGCATGCAGAGAGAGAGAGACAAAAGAAATAGGATAGGTGTGTGGGTAGGTAGGCACACCCACCCGACAAAAGTTCACGGAATAAAAAAAATACAGACCAATCGCCCTCAACCTGTATCAGCATGACGACGTGCATCACGTACAGTTGACTGGCTGCTTCGTTTACCCATCGTTCCTCTCTTTCAAGGTGAGATGGGTGTAATGCGAAGAACCATTCAACCAGCACTGCACAAAGGATAGGTTCGACAAGGCCAGGTTCGACCAGCTGGCATTATTCCAAACTCTGCCAGGTAGGCTCAAAGAAAGACACCCGCCTCACCTCATTTCATGGGAACATGTAGTGATGTTACTTCAAAACCTCATGGCCCATCCCAAAGAAAAAAACAAGAAAAGAAAGACAGAGAGAGAAAAACAGGAGACAGGTCATATGCATGTTCATCCGCCTAATCATAAAATCCGAGACATCATTACCACCCAAATCCCATTTTTCGGAGGTTTAGAAAAGAAAAATCCTTCCCAATCCGTCCTCGTCATCAATGTCGTAACACGTCATGGAATACAACGTCGAAAGGAAATTGAGTTGGTAACGTTTGTCCTTCAGTGACCGCGCAGCTCCCGAGCGCGACGAGAGAGCGGCGGAATCCGGCGCACAACAGGGTCATGCGGGTTGTTTTCGGCAATAGACATGTAAAGGCTCTCCAGACGTTGGATAAGAATGTCCATAATTCTTGGCGCGACCTCACGGATGTCCGGGTCCTGCGCAGTCGTCACATTAGAAGACGGACTCGTAGCGGCAAGAAACCAACTTACCCTCAGATCGACGGTCTGCAGAACAACCTCAAGCCAGCTAAGACGCTCTGCCACGTTGGTCTGGAGAGAAGTCGTGACAGCAACTCCAACCGACAGAGCCACAATCGGCGACAGACCGGTCAAGTAGGCCGGGTTCAGGCGAACGAAGAGATTGTCGAACAGGTCAGCTTGCTGGGAGGATTGCAACCACTGTTCGAAAAACAGAGTTAGTCATGTGCCACATCACAAGAAATTCTTTGCTCAACTAACCTTCACAGATGCCTCCTCATACCGGCCCTCATTCATCAACTGCGCAATTTCGGCCAACTCGGTCTCCTCCGGGGTCCTTGGAGAGAAAACTTGGCTGGGACCTGCCGGTGGGGCAGCCTGCTGCTGCGACGCCCGTCGGCTCTCGCTCTCAACGTGTTGCTGAGACACAGACAGCAGCTGGCGATTCAGTCTCAAGATTTCGTTCTGGAATCCCGTCTGCGCCGCTGCCATCGAGGCCACAGTGTCCGACAAGCCCTTGACCAGAGTTGTCAGCTGGTCGATCTTGGCCGCGTCGCTCTGACGCTGGGCCTCGTATTGCTTCAGCTGCGCCTGCACCTGGCGCTCCAGATCCACACCAAGCTTCTCTGTTGAACGAAGGACCGCGTTTTTGATGGTCGGAGTGATTGAAGAGTGCATCACCTTGGAAAACTCGCTTTCCACATGTGATGCAAGCTTCCGACCAACCATGTCCGAAATCGTGTTCAAGACGTCCGGCTGCTGGATTGCACGGGAGACAGTGTCTGGCAAAGCCTGGCGCAACTCGCGAGGAATCGCGTGGCTGAGTTGTTTCGACACCGCCTCGTTCAGCTGCTTGTTCAACGTCGAGGAGGTAGTGTTGACAATGGCCGGCACGACATCATTCTCGATGCTCTGGGAGATGATGCGAGCAAGGTTCTTCTCGACATTGTCAGAGAGAGTGCTCGACACCAAGCGCAACACCTGGTCCTGCTTGGCAGCCGACGCTGCATCCCAAGCGCGACGTTCTTCGTCGAACCGTTTGTGAAGGCCGTCAAGTTCGCGGCCAAGATTTCTCACCACTTCACCAGAGACACCTTTCTCGATCTGTTTGACCAGGTCGCCAGAGATGCCAAGGCTGGCCGCCTCAGGTGGACCATTCATCGCTGCAGCGGTAGGTGCCTGCTCAGGTAAGATGGCCTCCTCGTCTTTGGTCGGCTGGGCTGCCCGCGACGGCGAAGCGGTGCGAATTTCAGCAGCAGATGACGGGGCCGTCTGGGCGGCAGTGACTTTGCCGTTGGCTTCCTTCACCTTTTCCTTCTTTTTCTTCTTCCCCGCTTTGTCAACACCAGTGGTGGTCACCTCAACCTGCTCTTCACTGACCTTCTTCGGTGAAACCTTCGCCGGTGACTCATTGCGTGAGGGTCCGAGTGAATCGACTCCAAGCTCGGACGTCTTCTTAGCCACATCTTTAACAACGCCCTTCTGCGGGGTCGCGACGGCATCGCCGTTGACCGATGGCTCGTCAGCGACATAACTGGGGAACGTCTGAAGATCAGTAACCTCGATGTAACCTTCCTCCAGCGCATTCACCGGTTTGATGATCTTATTGTCGGCAGTCCAGCCAAGATCCTCCTTCTTGATGTTGAGACAGGTCACGCCACGCGAGTGCATGACATAGAGCTCGAACAACCCGATTTCATCCTCCAAGTTGCGTTGCGCGCCCGCAGGCTTGCTGATCGGAAGAATGTCCAAGCTTCTCAGTTGGCCCTTAGAGGCAAAAGAGATTTCGCGAATGCCGCTCAGGCAGGCAGTAGACTCCGGCTTCGGCAGGTGGCCATCCTTGTCGTGAGCGCGCTTAATGAAGGATGCCTGGGACATGGGCTGCAGGTTGTATCTGGGAGCAGACAGGTGAACAAAGTAGATCGAGTTCCTCGTAGGATGCCCAACCACGATGATGCCGGATCCTGGATGATACGCGACGCTGCAGATGGCATCCGATTCGTTCTCATGTGGAAAGTTTAGCTCTTGCACCGCCTTTCCCAGTCCAATGTCCCACAATTGTAGAGTATGGTTCTGCTTCAGACCGACGAGAACGTAGCGCAACGCAATCCCTTTGACGTACGGTCGCAACTTGTCAATAAACAGCACCGACGTGGGCCAGGACTTCTCGCTAGGAGACCCGGTCACGAAGGTGTTCAAGGGCACCCGGACTTCGGAGGGCGTGCTGCCAGTATCGATGGTAGGGGTCATCTCCCGTATATCCCAGAACCTGAGTCTGCCGGTCTTGTCCAGAGACGCCACCACGGTGTCGTCCTCGCTGAATGTAAAGTCTTTGCCGGCCTTGCCCGTGGAGATCTTCAACGTACGCTCCTTGAAGAACTTCTCAGTATCGACCGTACGCTGGGACCCCGAGACGCCATAGGCGGCAGTCGCCGCAAAGTGCGGTGGCACGATGTAGATGTTCTTGCCGCGACCGATACCGAAGAATTCAGGATGACGAGAGCTTCGCTTGGCGCGCGTTTTCAGCTGGCCACCCGAAGTGTTCTCGTCAGATGCTGGATACGGTGGGAAAACGAGAGACTCGCTCTCCAGCGCATCCATTTCAAACAGATCCTGATCGCCCCGCAAGATCGGAGCCCAGTACACGGTGCCGCTGACGCCAATGGCCAGGACAGCCTGTTCCTTCGTAGCAGTCGCAGAAGTGGTAGCAGTGGTGCACAGGGACACATTGAATATGCGGTCGCGCGTGGAACGGAAGACCTGCTTATCACGTCCATCATCTTGACGGATGATTCTCAGACCTCCGTTCTTTGCCAGAGCATAGACGATATACTCCGAGGTCGCAGACGTCAAACAGCGGTCGAGCTGATCGAAGTCCTTCTTCAGCCGGGCGACGTCCATGATGCCATCATCACGAAGAGACGGCAGCTTGTCAGAATAAGGCTTGACGGTGATGGAGATGAACGGTTTGAGAGGGAAGTTGAGAACGCGCACAACACGTTCATCCTCCTTCTCGGCGCTGTCTTCAACACTCTCCCAGCTGTCGGCAAGAGTCCCCTCTGCAGCAGCCTCTTTCGCAGGCTCTGTGAAGGGCTCTGGGACGATTTCATCCAGAACCTCGTTCTCCTTCTTGTCGAGCTCCTTCTTCACCTCAGCAGCGGGGGCTTGAGCCTGTTCCGCAGCAGAAGGGCCGTCCTCAGACGGTTTCTCCTGATCTGCTTTTGTTCGGGCCGACTCCTTTTCGTCAGCTCTATTCAGAGCATTGTCCACTTCTCGATCCAGCTGCCCGGCCATCTCGCCAAGAGCCTCCGAAACAGTCTCCTTCTTTCGCTCTGGCTGAGGCTGTTTCAGGTTCTCGTCAGACGAGGCAGGTGTCGCTTGCGTGGATGTCTCCGACGTGGACACTGCCTCCTTTGTCTGATTATTGGAGACGCGAGTGGTTTCTTTCCTTGATTTGACCGCTTCGACGGCCGGACTGCCGCTGCGCGAGCGAGATTTGGGCTGCGGGGTCCTGTTTCGCGGAGAAGCAGCTGCCAGCTGCTCAAAAGGATTGACGTAGGTGAATATCGTACCCTTGGGAGGCGTCGGCTGGGGAGGCTCGAAGGGAATGGAGTCTTTGTTCTCGCTGGAGCCAAAAACAATGCGCGGCTCCTTGCCTTCCGCTTCGGCAGACTCTGTGGGTTTGGTAGTTTCGACGTCCGTAGGACGCTTTTCCTCGGGAGACTTGACAGGTGGTGGCGTAGATACAGCCTGCTGAGGAGCGGGCTTCGCCGGCTCTTCTGCTGGTGACTGGGCAGGCTTGGGGCGGTTTAGCAGACGGAGGAGCATCTCCTGGGTGTCTGCAGCCGCAGATCCCTCGCCAGTGCTGTCACGCGGAGCATGGACTGCAGGAGATGGGGCTGCAGTTGATAGGGCAGGAGTAGAGGCCATCGAACCTCCTGCGGTCGGTTTTGGCATGAACGAGGCTACCAGGTCAGAGGCGGAGATGGTCCTTGTGTGCGTCTTCCGGCCGTCACCCCCCCAGTTTCCTGAGTCGGATGAGGCTTAGACTGACCCAACCCCATCGCTGGAGATGGCTGTTGCGGCGCTTGCGTGGCAGATGTGGTTGGCGTGTTCTGCTTGAACTTCAACAGATTCAGAAGGTTGATCGTCTGATCAGAACTCGGTTGCCGCTGGTCGCCTCGGGGGGTTGACACATTGGGGCTCAAGACGTCCGCGCTGCGGTGTGGCGGGGTGTTGGTTGGGCCAGGGCTGAAGATGGGAGAAGAGACAGAGGGATTGTGGTAACCATGCTGCTGAAGAGACTGCTGCGGCTGAGAGCCGTTCTGAGCCTCATAGGGCATGGTCTGGCGCAAGCCCTGGGGGAATTGGGACGGCTGTGCATCCTGGGAAGGAGAGGGACGCGGCTTGATGCTCGCGAACAGAGCCTGGAGATCGTTTGGGGTGGACATTTCTGTCGCTCGCCACGGTTGGGGCGCCCGTCGCGATATCCAAGCTTCAGGTCCAATCCGCACAAGAGCTCTCTTTCGAGAGCAAGCTTCAGGAAGAAGCTGTCTGCAGAGAGGAGACTGAGCGTTTGCAAAGCAACAAGAAGGAAGGATGGGAAAGAGTGATGGACAAGCTGGAGAGCTGTTGCACACAATGTGCCTGAAGGAGAGAGAGAGAGAGGTGTGGGCGTGAGAAAGAGAAGGGGAGAGAGAAATTGAACGCATGAGGCGAGGCGTTAAGCGTGAAGTGACGGCAGACAGTGTGGCTGGTTACTCGCCTGTGGCTGGTGCGCCAGCGACATGACGCTCTCCGTACGGGGCCGACATCAAGATTAATTAATTCATCGCTGAGTCCTGGCCCAGACACTGCAGAGCCAGAGGAAGGCGTCTGGCCAGGTGGATCGTATAAAATTACGCTGTGCTGCCTTTCTCCCAACGTCAGTCTCCCTGGCGTCTTGACTCTTTGATCCGCTTGCTCGTCTGTGGCGCCCGCCTTCGTCATTTGCACCGCAGACTCGACCGGCAGAGAGAGCAAGAGCACCTATTTCCAGACAGCTCTTGAAGATCATTGACTATCCACCATGTTCTGTCTTCGGAGGTAAGAACGCATCCATTAAATGAGTCTGATCGTGAATCTACATCGACTAACTCGAACCTCTATCTAGCTGGCTTCCTCTCCTCTTCATCCCGACCAACGCCTCCCCTCTCTTCATCCTGTCCTTCGTGACGCTGACATACATCCTGCACCGGCCGTGCATCTACTGCTCCGCGCTGCTACTGATCCTGTTCATCTCGTCATGCCACTGGTCGGACCGGTGCTTCTTCGATTTCCGCGGCGACTGGTTCTCGCCGCGCTTCACCTCGTCGCCGTTCACGTACATGGTGCCGGTGAATAATTCCTCGTCCTCGTCTGTGGCTCTTGAACAGCTCGACATGAAGAATGCAAACGAGTCGCTGGCCAAATACCTCCTCGAAACGGTCAACACCACCACGACGGCCCTCGCCGGAGCGGCGCTCGAGGAGGCCAAGCGGAGACTGTTGAACAACGGCAGCAGCGTCATCAACGCAACGACGGAATTCAGACAGGAGGAATGGACCGGCCTCGGACTCGAATGGCTGCGAAGTTTGCTGGGACGACGAGAATGGACGCTACCATGCATAGACGTCAAGGTGCGGCTGTAACGGGGAAAAATAAAATCGTATCTATTTAATCGGAAGAGGAGGAGGAAAGAAGAAAAAAAAAAGTCAAAAACATTATCAATGACAGGACATGATCGATCAATCTTCTAATTAATTGCACTGCATGCACCTTTCACTTCCTACCTAACTCAGCAAGCATCAATCCACCGTCTAATATTCATTGAAACTATTTCCATGGCCAAAATAAAAGACTTGGACGCAGGATGCAATACAAATAAATGTACATATTTTTTTTTAAGCAGGCAACTGATTCATCTACTCCGTACTCTAGACACAAAAATAGGCAGGCACGTAGGTCAATCAATACACAGATAAATAAATAACTAGGCAGGTATATAACAAGGGGGGAAAACAAAAAGATAAAAAAAATAACTTGATTACATACAAGGCCAGCATGTAAGGAATGAATAAGTTTCATACTCAAACAACCTGCATTGCATAGAGCATGCAGACTTCATTCAACAAGGGTACATAAATAATAAAAGGAGAGAAAATGTGTACATATATAAATAAATAAGTAAATAAAAACAGATCAATCGAATCCGTCATCAACGTGTTCTTTTTTTTTGGTTGTCTTCGTGAAAGACAGGATCGTATCATTATCAGCAAACATAATATGGTAGTCGTCCTGTGGCCGCGCGTTTCTCATTTCAATCTCATCACGATCGATCGATTGATCGATTGATTGTTCTCATCGCCGCCATCATGACAACTGCTACCAACCAATCCATCCGAAGGCATATATGTATGTACGTAGGTATCATGGAAAAAAAACAAATCAAACAAAGCACAGCCATCTCGCTAATGAAACACAGCAAATCTCCAGAGAGAACACGCCAATCGGAATCGAATCGAAAACGCCAAATAATGAATCCAAAAATAGTAAGAGCCAGAGCGGACATAGCCCAGCTCAGCTCTGGTTCCTCCTCTGCCCAGGAGGGGACATAAATATACTAACCATATCCTATCGACACATTCAGGTGTATCCGGGGGTTGGCATCGGCCAGTCGTCTTCCGTGATGCTGCTCCAGAAGAGCCACACGACGACGACCGACAAGAGAGTGAAGAAAGTTTCAAAGAGCGCCCCGTTGACCTTGCCGTGCGTTGGATTGCAGATGTGGACGCTGATCACAAAGTTGAAGATCTGTCCAATCGCGAAAAGAAGGGCGGCCGCGGTGAGGTAGACTACAGGAACATGCATTAGCGAGGTTTTGAATAGTGTGGATACGGATACGCACTCATAGGTCTCCGCTCTCCCAGGATGCGGAGGACAAGGACGGCCTCCAAGACATAGTAGAGGACGAGGCAAACCAGCGGGAAGAGAAGGTAGAGAACGTAAAGACCGATGTTGCGGTTATCACCCGACAGACTCGAGGCAAAGTGGCCGGTCCAGCTGAAGGCGGTGTCCAGCGCAATATACCCCGTGCCGATGAAGAACACCGCAGACGAAGAGAGAAACAGCGCTATCGAGACGGGCGTGCCATCGTCGAGGAACTGGAAACCGACGAGGGCGTTCAGGAAGAGAATCCAGCAAGTTGTCGTGACCGCAGCCACATGAACGGCGGTAAAGCCCTAGTAAAACAATCAGGAGAGCGTCTTCGAAAACAGACCATCCGGACGCACCTTGCGAACCACTGGATCCAGAGGAAAAGCGCCCACGGTGAAGATCTCGCATATTGACGTGATGATGTAGCCGATTAAGAACAGTTGCATTTCTCTTCGTCCCACTGCCGCGCGTTTTCTTTCGGATAGCATCAACAGGAAAACCGAGGTGACTATGGCGAAGAATGCGAGTATTATTGATCCTGCAGAATTCCCACGCTCGTCAGTCACGGACCTCCCTGTCGCCTGCTGACAGCGCAATTGAAGACAAACCTAGGTTGCCCAGATTCTTTCCATCACCCAGGTTGATGCCCTCGAGAGCACACCCGCCGAAGTGCAGGTTGGGTGGCTGATTGTCGGGTACGAATAACTATCGCAGGCCACCGTCAGCATCCATTGTCATCCGCAGCACTTGCACACGACGTGATTCCACGCGTCTCTCGAAAGAAAGGTGCGACGTACATTGCATATTGGCAGTGTCGTGTCTCGACAAAAGTCCTAAGCAATCGCTGTCAGCGTCTTCTCTCGAATTTCCCAGTCACGGCCAACTCACATGAAAATTGCCAAACTGAGTCGAACCCATGATGAAATGATTGCGAACGACCTATCGAAGGATCTATGGATGGGTGGTGATTCCACGGGTCTGGCGAAGGCAATCGTGGTGCCTGGAATGCGACCGGCGGTCGACCGGTCGGCTCGACGACTGGATGGCCCAGGCAACGAGGGCTCTAACGACGCTGAGAACAACAACAACACGAAACGAACGAACGACGTGTTCAGCGTGGACGGAGCTGGATAAAAGCAGAGACCTAAGTCAACGAAGGATGGCCGCAGCGATGGCTGGGAGAGTGGGAGCGAGAGAGGCTCAGCGTGCAGAGGTAACGGTGGGAGCGCCAGCCGCACCATCCAACTTTAGTAGCAAGCTGGAGAAGCAGCTTAACCAGGAAACGCAACAGGGCCGGGGCGCGCGAGTGGAGCAGCTGGTCGGACGCGGAGAGAGAGTCGAATCTGGCGATGGCAGCGAACCACGGAAATGAGCTGGCTGAGATGCGAGCCTGTGAGTCGGCGTGAGTCTTGGCCAGGGGGAAGTGGAGAGGCCCAACGGTGTCATGCAGTAGCAGCCGAGGATATCTGAATCAGAGGAGCATCTACGACTACGAGAACTACAGTTACGTCTTCTGCCAGAATTAATAGACAGAAGTTCTTAGAATCCAGATGGGATACGATCATATGGCTCTTTTATCTTCATCTTCTTCTCGTAGCTTCCAAGACCGTCTAGTGTGCTGGTTGAGCAACGCAAATAAATTAAAATTAATTAACCTCTGCCAATCAAGCGGCGGTCGGCCCGTCGCGTTTGTTCCCGAGCTGCCTGTTCTTTTTTCCTATCAATTAATTAATTAATCACTTTTCCGTCGAAGAGAAAGAAAAAGAACAAGAAAAAAATTAATAAATGGCCGGATTATTGCTAGATCGACTGCGGTGGAGTCTGTTTCAATTATTGCCTTTGTTACCCGAACAGTTCTCCAGCCACCAGCACCGCTTTTTCTCACCGCATGTGCTGTGCGAGTCTTGTCTCAGTCTCGCGACACCGCCACGCCAACCCTCGCTCAGAGTACAGAGTACCTTTGTAAGACCGCAATTATCTCCTCCCTACGTCAGCCTTACTAATATCCGCAGATTCTACCGAGTAGCATCGTCTGATCGGTCGATCGCCTCCTCCTTGCTTAGACCGGCCCGCTATCGAGTCGCGATAGGAGCCCCACCGCGATTGCGATATGAGATGGTGAGACTGGCTATCGATAGCAGAAATTCATGCCTGACTGTCCCACATCGTACAGTCCCTATCTGTACATACATTTCATCACCATTACGGAGGACTTGGTTGTGCGTTTGCTGTGCAGAACACACCTCTCGCATACTGCTTACTGTACTCCGTACATACAGTTCGTTTCAGGTGATGGAAAGAGTAGCTGAGTTTCAGGTTCTCGATGCAATAATAAAATAAAGTAAATAAACATACATATGCAGCCAGTGTGAGACACAGCAGCATCTCAATATTGGTCTTATCCGTGCGTGAGACTCGTCTTACTGCATATCACGTGCTGCCACCTGATCTGCATCCTAGAAGTCTTCGTATCTCACTCCGGGCGGAGACTCGTCGCAGACTCCCCGTAGCTTGTCCTCAAGACCTTTCATTTCTTCCGCCTTCTGCCTGGCCGACTCCCTCGAGTAGCAATCTGCAAACTTCGCCGTCTCGAAATCAATGATCGTGGCCCCTGTTTCGGACACCAGAAAGTTGAATGAGTTGAGATCCCCGTGGATGATGCCGGCGTTGTGTAGCCTGCGCACCGCGTCCTGGCAAGCTTCAAGATCTTCGATCCCAGCAGGACGCCCCACGACGTCCTCGATCAGAATCCCCACGACGCGGTCTGTGTGTTCTTCATAGACGTATCCCAGCAACCCCGGCACTGCCGTACAGCCGCTCTCCATCAACAGAGTGTATGCCTCAATCTCCTGCATCAGATACGGAAGGTCGTGCGCGAAATTGGCGATCTTGAGAATGGCCGTGGCGAGCTGACCCTCAGGCGGCCACGACAGCACCACTCGCGTGACGCGATCCTTGAGCGTCTCCCAGTGCTGCAGATTCGCAATGTCGAACAGCGTCAGGCTGTCCGGGTAGATTTTGAGTGCGCGGACGTTCACCGAATGCGGCCCAAACCAGTCAGGAAGAGACTTGATTTGGCCGGTGTAGGCGTCCCTTTGCACGGTCAAGGTTGTCCAGTTTTCGTTCCAGCGCGGAAGGTGTCGCAGTTGGGAGAGGATTGCTGCGCCCCTGACGCAGTGGTCGAGTTGGAGGATGCCATCGTGCAGGATTTTGACATAGACGATCCGCTTCCCTCGCTGGATTCGATAGAGCCATTTGTAGGGGTCCTCGATTTGGTTCGAGTTGAGACTGACACACAGGACTCTCTCGGTGATGCTCATGTGTCTGCAAGTCGAGGGTCAGTCAGCTCAATCAATTCGTTCAGCACAGGACAAAGCGCATACATAGTCAGAGTTCTTGTTGTCTTTATCTATGGTTGCATTCAACGTCATCTGGTGGTCTCGCTGGGTCAAGATTGTTTTCCAGCAGGAGTTGCATATCACCGTCAGAGGATTCACTACAGACTGACCAGGTGACAGGCTGGTCGTGCGACTTGGTAGGTGAATACGTGGTTGATATATCTACGGCAACTGCCTGCAATAAACATCATGGACTCCGACTGGCCTTCACTTGTTACAACTACTAGGACATACCATCCTTTCAGACAGGCAATATCCGTCACTTATTGACTTTAGCAAACATGCTCAACCTGCACCTCCTTTCCATCGTGCTCGCCCAGATCCAGTTTCAATGTCCGTCCAAACATCTCGAGCAGCATTTCAAAGCAGACCTTTGAGATTGCCGGGTCGTACCGGCCTTTGCTGAGCTCATCACGGATAAAGGCGTCTATACCCGTTAGCAGGTTCTATGCTAGGATTGGTATGTACTTACGTTGCGCCCAAGCCACCTCGTAAAAGCTGAACAACACGCCTTTCTCGTGCAGCGTCCGACGGATCAGATCCCGTCCTTCGGGAGGGACGTGGGTGTCGTTCTTGCCAAAGATCTGTCGAAATTCGTCAATCTACAGAAACAAAGCAAGAAAAGGCTCTTGGTCCGACTGACCATGAGGAGTTCTCCCTTGATCTCGCCCGCTCTCTTCAAACTGTCGTCATTCTTTCCCTCACCCAGCGTCGCGCTGTGAATGTCAGTCGCGAAATAGCATACCGCAGCCTTGACGCGCTGGTCCAGCGCACAGCGGAAGGCCAGATGCCCACCGAGACACATGCCCGTAGCGCCGATGCGGCCGTTGCACGTTGGCAGCGAGAGGAGGTAGTCGACCGTCAGCGCGGCATCCTCGTCATAGGCAGCAAGTTTCTAGTCCGATCAGCCAGCAATCCATGGTGAATGCAGCGAGTGGGGGTCCGACCTTGGTGACTTTCCACTTGTTTCCTTTGTCGGTGTCTTCGGCGTCGTATTTCAGGGGCTCGGGGCCGGTGAATTCGTGGTAGGTGGAGGGCGCAGCGCAGATATAGCCTTGGCCGGCGATCTGGCGGGCGAAGCGGGCGACGGGGCCGGTCACTAAATAGTCAGTAAAGAGTGACTGTGTGGTAGCCAGGAAATCGCAGAACGAATGACTATCTTAGACAAAGAGAATGCAATCATCAAAGCGCTAACGCAGTACAGAGGCTTGCAGCAGTGATATGGCAATACATACCTTGATAAATCTCACTAAAGACCACCACACCAGGGAACTTTGCATTCGGATACCCTGGCAGAGAGGGATGGAAGACGAAAATGCCTGATGGAAGCCAATATCAGCGGCAATCCATAGAAAAAAAAATCAATCAATCGAGCAATTGCTGCAATCCACATCTTCTCCTCGACTAACGAATGCAATCCAAATCCAACATTTTCAAGATCGTGTCACCATTCGAATATTCATTCATCATTCATCATTCATCCCATTGTGGATTGGTCCATGTACTGTACATGCATGCAGTGTGCATTATCAAGTACCATGCCAGTCAATGAATAACAATTGCCTATCTCTTACACTATTTCTTTATCGATATCGATAGTATATCGATAATGACACACATACCCCACCCCACTGTAACTGACAACAACAACAACAACAACAAAAAGCATTGATAATAACCAGAACGACAAAAATAAAATAAAAAAATTCAAAAAAGACAATAATAAGTAGTCAATATTAACAAGCCAAGTTCAAGTTCAACTGAAATAAGTAAATTTTCAACTTAATTCCACTTACGCATGGTACTACCCTCGCCGCCCGCTTTGGTGGGGACGTCGTGGTGGAATTCTTTGATGAGCATGTTGCTGGCTGGCTGCAAGTACCGTATCAGATCAGTCTATCGAATTGAAGATTTGAAGATATGTCAGAGAAGAGAAGGGAAAGCGTTCAATTGTGTTTGTTTTTGACGATGGTGAATGGAGTAAATAAATATCCGATCGATTCTATCGATGGGGAATTTACGCGGAGTAAAGAAAGCTTTTTTAACTCCACGATAGCGCTACCTCCGTACCGGAATTTCCTGGTTTGCAAATTGTCTATCATAATATGACTTGAATATATATCCTAGGTGGTTATAATTTTACAAATAGCTCTCATTTCTATTATATTATAGAAACTAGGTTTTCTTCAATCTAACTCGACTACGAGGACTAATAATTATCTCCTCTCTTTGCATTTGTCCTTGCATTTCGATGTACTGTACATACATGATGTAAATCATTTAAATGTCCCTTCCTGAGCATTTTTTTTCCCGTTGAAATTGCTCTTATGCCAGCTGTCTTATTTTACTCTGATTCCTGGCTACTGTCTACTGGCTACTACTCCGGAATCTGCAGCACATACCGCCCAGCAATCTTCTCCTGCTCCATCAGCTCATACACCCTTCCCAACTCCTTCAGCGGCATCGTCTTAAACGGCACCTTGATCAACCCCCGGGCAAAAAAATCGATCGCCTCGGCCCCGTCCAGTCGGCTGCCGACGTAGCTGCCCTTGATGCTGATCATGCGCATCACCGTGTCCAGAATCGGCGCTCTCAGGAACGCGTTCGGTGGCATGCCGATGGCTACGATCGTCCCCCGTGACCGCACGTAGCTGGTTGCTTGCTGGAAGGGCTTCTCTGATGCTGCGAGGACGAGAACCGTGTGCGGGCCCAGGCCGTCCGGTGTCGCTGCTCGCACGTCGTTGGCTATGTCTTTTGTCTTGGTGAAGTCGATGTAGATCTAGAACGGTGTTTGTTATCTCAAATCAATCAAGCATGTGTGAGACACACCTCGGCTCCCAGCTCCTCGCACATGGCTCTCTTGTCCTCTCCGCCGTCAATAGCAATGACTCTCAGGCCCATGGCCTTTGCGTACTGCTGGGCTAGCGATCCCAACCCGCCTCCTGCGCCCACGATAGCAACCACCTGGCCTGGACAAGCCCCGGATTCCTTCAGGCCCTTATAGACGGTAATCCCCGCACACAAGACAGGGGTGACAGCATCCAGAGGGACGTTCTTCGGGAGCTTTAAGACATGGAAGGCCTTCGCGACACAGTACTGCTGGAAGGAGCCATCCACTGAGCAGCCAGACATCATGGCCTTTGCACAAAGCGGCTCATCACCCTTCTGGCAGAACTCGCACGACATGCACGAGCTATTGATCCACTTGACGCCCACATGGTCGCCTACCTCGAGTCCCGCAACCAGATCGCCTTTGGCGACGACAACGCCAGCGCCTTCGTGCCCGCCGACCAAAGGGAGCTTCATGCAGGCCGGCAAGTCCCCCTTCAGGACACTCAGGTCTGTGTGGCACACGCTGGAATACTTGATATTGACCAAGACTTCGTCCGGACCGGGCCTGCTGACTGGGATCTGTTTGTAGATGACGGGGCCGCCTTTTTGTTCGAGGACTTGAGCCCACTGCGTGTCTGGGATAGCCATGAGATGAGCAAATAGAGTCCTTGCAGTCGTCGATATAATATGGATTGATGTGAGAGAAGTAATCCCGATGCAGTGATTGTATCTTCAAAAACACTGCTTGCTAAGCAGAAATACCTTTAACCCGCTGAAATTGTTCCTTCATTACATCATACCTTTATTACCCTCAGACGGAAGTTGGTTGATAGAATAGACATTTTCGGAAAGTTCGGACAGTAGGTAGTGTATTCAGACAAACGTCAATCGGTTGAGTTTAAAGAAACAGTACGTATCTTACCTCAGGGGATAGTGCTCTGTAGATAGGTAGTTCCAGTAATCCCCCGTCGTCTTGCTATTAACAAATTTGTTATCATTTACCAGTTATGATCTATCTATCTGAAAAAAAAAAAACTCTGACGTCTGTTAATTAATTATTCAGTTAGTTTTCTTTTCCGTTCCTGTTGCTACATATGGTGTCAGTCAGTCAGTCAGTCAGTCAGTCAGGACGAGTAAATACAAGCTGTTTATTGCTGTACTGTTCGTTCAATTATCTATCCTATTTCCCCCTCCCAAACCCATCCGGGCCATCCCCTCTCCACGCATTAACATTGACAACAATCCTCGAAGAATAAGGAATCTTGTCAAAATTCGACTCTTGCTGCGCAGCAGAAGACAGAGGCGAAAGAGGTGAAGGTCCAGAAGAAGACGACGACGATGACGAAGAAGAGGTAGTAGAAGATGATGAAGGACGACAATCATGATAAGAGCGGTCTGAGCGGATGGATGGCGTAAAGGAGAATCTTTTTCTTTGTAGGGATGGATCTGAAATGGGGATTTCTGTCGAATGGTCTTGGTCTTGGTCATGGCCACGGGTGGAGGCAGGACGAGGTGTCTGCATCGTCTGGTAGTGGTCTGTCTCGGAGACTTGATGCCTATTAGTACCATGACAAAAATTGTCATTGTTGATATGCGCTTTTGGCTGTTGATTAAAGTCCGTGGGCAGTTCGACGCATTTCCTAACTGGGGCTATCAACCAGATCATTAGCTTTTTGCAGATACAATCTTGAGGGGAAATCTTACACTCCATCTCGTAGATTGGAGAACTATCAGCCTGGCTCGGCTGGATTGGCGACACATCCGTCACTGCTGTCGTCGGCGACACCACGTTTGCCTCGGATTGTTTCTCGCTGACCGGCGACATGCCCGTCGAAGGAGATTCCAGAGCTGCGTATGATGTATCTGCTCGCTCCACGGATGGACCCGTTGACCTTGGCGTCTCCCTTGGCGTCTCCTCCTTGTCGACACTACCAGCTGGCTCGTTCTTTGGCTGGTGTCGTCTGTATATGAACCAGGCTGCTGCGAGAAGTATGATCACTACCACCCCTGCGACACTCCCCAGCACTGTACCCAGTGGCACACCCCTCCCTCCAGTTCTGTCAGCTGGTTTTGTGACGGTCACATTGCTAGGCCTGCTTGGCGCAGCATAAGGATAGTACGTCGCCATCGGCTTCGTATACTTTGACGAGAAAATGCCCGCCAGAGCATCGTCATTCCACCGGTCTGGCGATGTCTTGGTCGCACTGCCGTTGACACTACACCTTGTCAGGTCAGTCTGGAAAGAACAAGGAGATAGATAATACCTACTTTCCTCCAATCTTCGCCGTGACCACAGACGGCACCCGGTACTCACTCCACACATCCGGGCTGTACGAGTCCTGGAACTGCAGCGTGTTGAGATTGAACACCTGGATGACTCCCCCGTCAGACAGATCATCGGATCGCCCTTGAAGATACCACCAAGAACGAACATCTGATCTGGGTACACCTTCACGCAGCGGTGGCCGCTGCGGCCGTGAGAGCGTTTCCCGGAGTATGCTTTGATCCACGTGAAGGATGGCATGGAGAGGATGTAGACATCGTCCGATGGCACCATTCCGGCGTCGATCCCGTCGTAGCCTCCATAGATGTATACGTTGAAGGAGCTGCCATCGGCGGCCGCTGCTACGACGGAGCAGAACATGGTCAACTGCGGCGGAATGTCTCCGGTGGTGTTTTGCAAGTACCTAACTAACTGTCAGTGTGATTCCGCCTAGTGGAGAGTCGTCCTACCATGTTTTAGTGGAAACATCATAGACAGGAAGTACTTCCATGAATGTGGGACTCGTTTTGTTCTGTGGTCGTCAGGATAAGAAGAAGGAAAAGATCAAGACGAAGACTCAAACATACGCTTGCTTCAGCCTCCTCTGGCGTCAGCTGTTGCGCCGCCGTCAAGATTTCCGGGTTGATGACTCCCCCGATTGCAATCAAGACTCCTGATTCAGAGACCGGGATCCAGACCAGTTCTGCATTGGCTCGCCCATGCACTTCGGAAGGAAGCGTCGTATTCTGCCAGAATTCCTTCCGCATACTCGACATGTTGACCGTAATTAATGTGTCTGCAATCGTGTTTGCAGTCTGATCGCCCTCTTCAATGCTCCCCCAATCTTCTCCCCGCATTCCGCTGAAGTAGAAACCGAGATTCTCACTCGGGGCGGAGACGCCAGCACCGTTCGTTATATAGCGAGTGACTCCAGTGGGAAGACTCCTCTGGACGAACCCTGGCTGCCACGAAATTGGTGGTGAGCCCCATTCGTACTCCTGGTAACCAAGCACCACATCGCCTGGGGGGAGTTCCTGACTATCGGTCAACCGTGAAAGGCCTCTGCACTCGTCAGAAAGACTAATTCAATGCTGTCAGCTGCTGGAGACCGACCCATAGAGAATAAACTCATTGTCGTTAGCAAACATCACTCCATCGTTGTAGTTGGGGGCGATATTGTTTCTGAGCGGGCCGCCGTTCTTGGGCATGGCCTTGAACAAACCTGTGAGGTTGGTTTGTTTGTCGAAGGGGATGCTCAGACTGAGGTTGTACATGATTCCGCCGGGATTGCCTATCGCCGTCGCCGTCAGTTGATATCCATCCATTTTGGAGGATTTTGATATACATGCCATCGCTTTGCGGAGATGCATAATCTCCATCAGACAGGCCACTAGATGAACGCATATATGTCAGCTGCTTGCCAAAAAGATCACCATAGAGGATTATTACATTTGCCACCAGATCGTCCCACCGTCGAGATAGATCGTATCGCGGATAATATTTGCTGAGACATATACATCAGTGAGAGTCCATCGCTCTTCGATCTCCATAGTGCTCACCTCGAAGCTGCTCCCAGCTACATATCGAGACGTTGACCTCGTTTTGCCATGCAATTGCAAGGGCAGGATTCGAGTTGGAAAGCGTGACGACGATGAATATAAGCCAGAACAGAGTCGAGACGCAATGCAGGTTTCCCCAGACGTAAGATCTGGAGGTTGCTAATGCCATTGTTGATGCTATTCAGAACACAAAATTCAGATCCTGCCTGTCAATGCATATTCCCGTCTAGTCAGACTGAATTGGAAACGATACACAAGCAGAATCATCTACAGCTACACGCAGCTCCGGTGGAAGCTTGCGTGCTGACATTTCCAGAGCAGCTGGTATTTGAAGAAGGTTACGCTGCCCGATCGTTCTTTGATGCTGGAATGCTGTTTGCAGATGTCGTTCCGACGCCAGAGGAACGGATCTTGCTGCAATGAAAAAGATTGGATTCAAGGCATTTCTTCGCCGGAGTCGGCGAGTCGGTGTCTCGGAAGTCGTCAAACAAAGAAAGGCGCCTCGAGGCGGGCGCGGCAGGGATACCACCCAGCAACGCTCAGCCATGGATCTTAGATGGTTTCAGTTTGTAATTGATTGGATTCGCTGCTGTTGCTGTCTGGATTCGTGTCGAGTCTGTTGCGGGTTGCGAATCGCTTCGCCGTGTTTCCAGCTGAGCTTTCTTTGTTTTCAACTTCTCCAGAACAAAACATGAGAAAGCTCAACTGCAACTCCTTGTTAACTTGTCTTCTTGATAGAAAATGCGACGGTAAGACTTACTTTGCCTTTTAGATAGATAGGCGACTGCTGTCTTGTCCTTGTAGAGTTGCTGGATATCGTGCATGAATAACGCAATTTCCGTCTTCGAATGAACCACCTAATAATCAGCATTATATTATATTATAAAGACCATCTTGAGGATAATTGAAGTAGGCTGTCTCAGAAACAGCCATTTCCTCTCTGTCCAAGATTTTCTGCCAGATGCAACAGTTGTCGTCGCAACGTCGATGAAGCTACTGTAGACAACATGCTGGCATTCCATCTGAGATGGAATTCCTTTGTCCTGGGAATCTACTACATTCGACGTCGTTGCTGAGGACAAGCGAATTTTAATTGTTTTGTTGATAGATAGAGCCTTTTCTCAATTTATTGTTCTGCCAACCTTTATGTTTGTTATAGACAAATATCTATCGTCCTTGATCTATTCTATTTATTTCTTCAGTTAACTATTTCTATACATTTCAGATTTTGCCATTAGACATACACGTATATACATCAGAATGATATCGAATCTAATATCGTTCGTGGCAACAGGCCTGCTGGTCCCGTCGACATGGGCCTTGGGAGACCCGAACAGAAGCTGTCAGTGTCAATGTCCTGCCAGCACCTCAGTCATCTGCCAGACCCAAACCATGACTGAAACGGTCATGTCGACCCAGATTGTGAGTAATTTCAACAGTCCACCATCTCGAATTGATTGAGAATACTGAGTTGTAGCAGGTCCAACTTCCTCCGACTTCATCACCGACAACTCCGACTGCTGAGTCTGAGAATCCTTCATTTCCGATGAAAATAATCGTCTCAGAGACCCGTTTCGAAACACTCTCGTTTTCAATCGTGTATGATGACGACTCTACAGCGCTGGCCTCGCCATCCAGCTCAGCAGATGATTCTACTACCACAGAAACCATCACTAGAACGCACATCGACGAAAAAGACTGCTCGACTACTTCCCCCAGTGAAACGATATACGAGAAGACAATCGTTTCCTACATACCTACCACTGTGCCCGAGACAGTTCCCACGACAGTCACCTCCTACATCGAAAAGGAGATCACAGAAACAGTCTCAGATCTTGTGACAGCGACAGTAACGGACACCGTTCGCGCGACCCTTACGCTACCACCCATTAATATCATGGAGCGAATCACGCAGACGGAGGAGGTATCCACGACGGAGACTGCTGTTGAGAGGGAGACTGCTACGGTTACAGAAACAGAGACTCTTGCAGGAAATGCGAGTATTATTTCGGAAATCGTTACTGTTTCTGAAGAAGTGACTGATACAGCCACTCTCTCCGCCTTTCCAATTACCGAAAACAGCAATCCTGAAAGCACGATGGCCGCCATCCCGGCAGAAGAGAAGACAACAGGTAAATAACAACCCTTTAAATCAAATCCATCGAAACAAGTATCTAATATAATATGTACTAGCCACCCCCACCCTCTCCAGCCTAACCCTCTGCCCCAGCCTCATCGCCAACCCGACATACACGCCCGCCGCTCCTCTTCCGAAGAACTACACCTGGGGCTGTCCACCAGGACACCTCTGCCATCCACCAAAGCCGGCAGACTGCAACTTCGAGGCCGGCCCGCCGGCAGATTCCTACTACTGCAGTCCGGACGAGTGCATCCCCAGTCCGGAGCCGCTGTTCCCAGCACAGTTCTGGGGCCAGCCCGTTGTGTCGGACCAGATTGGCAGATTCGTCGTCTCGCCGGGGTATTTCAATCTCGATCCCGCGGAGTTTGGTCTGAGTGATGATATTTTCGTGTTTAACCTGCAGAAACGCGATTATCCTCAACTTCTTCGACACAGACAACGACCACGCTCCCCTCCGTCAACAATCCCCGGCGTCTGCTACGATGAGTGCAACAACGTCCTCATCGAGGCCGAGTGGTCGGGCAAAACGCCCGCTCTGTGCCAGAAGGGTTCTGCTTTCACTACCTACCTGGCTGATTGCCGTGAGTGTATTGAGGCGCATGGCAGCAGCAGCAGCAGTAGCAGCGGGGAAACGCTCGGCGATCATGTCCCTGAATTCCAGCAGTTTCTTTCGTATTGCGACTCGTTGGATGAGGAGTATTTATCCTCGCAGACGAGCGGATCGTCTAGCGGTGCTGAGGCTCAGATGGACAACTCTGCTCCTCCTAGCGCTGCGACCATCACTGATAGTGCAAGTGCAAGCGCAAGTGCGAGTGCAGACTCGAACAGTCCAAGCGGGGAGATAATCTCTTCAGCATCAGCTCCAGCACCAGCTTCAATGACAAGCACAGTAACTTCGACAGCTGCAAGCGGATCATCATCACCTTCAACACAAACAGAAACATCAACACCAACCCAAGACCCCATCCCCACCCTCACAGCCACAGTCCCAGACCAATACCCAGAGCCGATAGCTCCAACAGAGACATATACTGCTTTTGGCTCATCCCAATCGCATCGACCCCAGTCTGAGCAAACGAGCGGGAGCAGCAGTCGAAGCAGACATAACCCTGTCTCATCACTTCAAATATACCTGTTATACCTGTTTGGTACATGGACATTGACATGGGCCTGTATTTCATTGGTTTGGTGTATCGTTCTTGTTGTTGTATTGGGTTAGTAGTATGTAGTTAGTATAATTAACATAGTATAATAGAATAATAATTTTTCGAAATTTTGACCTATGTACATGTCAGTATCAGTAATTATCAATTATCATGATTCAATAGAAATGAGGAGAAATGAGTTAGTACTCCGCAGTACAGATACAGATGCAGATAGTCATGCAGTTTATTATATTCCAGTTTATTATGTTGATTACCTATGTTAATTACTATCCTGTCCTATCTTATCCTATCCTATCCGAAATATAACTTCTGCTGTTGCAGCAGCAGCAGCAGCAGCAGAACTAACCAAGTTCCTTTTTCCTTTCCTTTTTCTTTTCCTTTTCATTATTATCTTCCCTTCCATTTCTTTTTCATTTCAATTTTCGTTTCTCTTTCCCTCTCTTTCTTTTTTCAGTCTCCAGTCTGCAGTCTGCAGCCGAAAAGGGTATATCATATTAAGCTGATATAGTAAAAGAACAACCCCATTATGGAAAATGGTGTCCTCAAAGACAAACAAAGGCTAAGTATACACAGGAATGAAATGTAGCAAGATAAGACTAACAGAGAGAGGAAGCTATATAAGAAAATGTATAGACATCCATCTTTATGTGAATGAGCTTCCAAGGCTTCCTGGGTGGACTGCTTAAAACACGTACTGCAAAAGTCAGCACAGCACCAAAGTGAAGAGGACAGCCAACTCACCGGAATAAACAGATACGGAACCCGTCTCTCGTACTCGGCCCACGCCTCCCCATACTTGTTCCGGCAGCGCTGAATATCCCGCATCGCACGGTGCGTGATCATGCAGGCGAAAAACACCGGGTAGAACCACGGGAACGGACTGTCGAATCCGGTGATGAGACCCCAGTTCAACGCAAAGTAGAGGTCGCATGTGTAGTGGACCTTGCGAGCCAGGCCATCTGGAAGAGTCAGCACCGTCGCGTCGAAAATAAACGAGAGGGGAGACAGTGTGTACTTACACCACCCCGAAACCAGAATAGTCCCCCCATCCGGAGTTCGGATCACCTCCGGGTTCTTCAGCGTCTGCCACGGCAGCTGAGGGAACGTCTTACGGAAAACCAACGTCCCCCGCTCCTGCTGACGGTAGCGGTTCTTCTGGCTGTTGGCCGTATCCCACACCCAGTAAACGAAGAGATACGCAATGTACAAAAACGCCAGGACGTAGCGGTTCCAGCGATAGGTCGCAGGGTCGTGATTGGCGAGGTAGATGGTGCAGTGGCAGTAACTCAGAGGCACGCCAGCCAGATTCCAGAAGATGAGCATGAATCCCCACTTCTCGTAGTACATGTCCCTGTAATTCAGGTTAGCAATCGCCCACACACCAACACATGCTCCTGCTTATACTCACCAAGTCGACACAATACACTCTTCACCCTTCGAGCAGGCATTCGCGTACAGGAAGTGTGCCATCAAGAGAAAACCAACCTCGCCCGACACATACCCATACTGCTGGTACTGCCTCGCCGCAGCGCCCATGGTCACCAGCAGGAGGATATACCAGGGCAGCCGGACCTCAAAGAACATCTTGAAATCCAGAATGCCAAACATCCGCGGATTCAGCTCAGCGCCCATGAAGAAATCGTAGATCGGATAACCGGTCATGCGGTGCTGCGCACCCCGAGCCAGGGCCGAGAAGTAGGCGATAAAGGAGACCAGGAAACCGGAGAGAATGGCCACGCTCATCAAGGGACCGAACTCGTCGATGATCGTGTACAGTTTGAACAGGCCAGTGATGTGCAGAGCCATCGCTACCACCAGAGTCGTGTAGAAGGACCACACGGCCGAGCAGTAGTAGGGCAGCTGCTTACCGCCCTCATGGGGAAGCGGTCGTCCCATGATGGTGATGCCCGGGAGGAACATATAGCAAAGCGCCTCGAACACGAAGAACACCCAGTAGATGGCCCACGCCTTGAGCGACGGAAATGCCCCTTCGTACACCAAGTGCGCCAGATGCTCGAAGAACTCGGGCCAGGTCTGGTCCTTGGACGGCACGGGGAACTTGCCATCGTAGTACGTCGCCCCGATCCACATGTAGTACATGAGCAGGGGGAATCCGATCATCATCGACAGGCAGCCCCAGGAGCCGCCGAATTCAAAGTGGCCGCTGTAGTCGATCTTGGGGTCTTTGCCCTCTATCCATCCGTCGATGATCCGCGGCGCCTTCGCCGTGCCATTGCCCTCGGCGTGTCCATTGGCCTTGACCTCACTCTCACTGTCCTGCGACGCGTCCTCGGCCTTGACCTTGGTGGACTTGCGCTTTCGCGGCGAGCTTCTCAACTCCTTGCCGGCGAGGGAGGAATCGGACACGTCGGTCATTGGATCGGGGGTGATTGACGCGCGACTGCTGCGAGTTACCCGGCGGCCAGGGGTCTCCACGAAGTCGGGGCGCTCTACTTTTCTATTTCGATAGATCAATTCAATCAGTACAAGATGCAGGAGCAAAAGACGCGATCGCGTAGCAGAAAAGGAGCTTCCGGCTGCAGCTTGTTTGTTTGCACCGGGAGGGAGAAGCAGGGAATTTATAGCCACTCACTTGGGGGTCTTCCCCGTCTGGGACCGTGTCACCGTCATGTCGATGCGTCAGCGCCTGCTCTAGCAGCAGAGGTGGAGCAGGAGATGCAGGCCGATGGGGAGGGAGAAGGGAGTGTTGGAGATGATTATTGACGATGATTATTTCGTTTTTTGGTTTATTTTGGTTGCTGCGCCAGTTGGTTGGCTGGCGGCAACACTTCCGGGGACGCTAAGCCTTTGCTTGGCAACAAGGAAGCCGCGGACTCCGCAGGTCAGCGTTAACCCGCTTGGGTTGTCCCTTCGGAGGTGACATTGAAATAATTAATTAGCTCTGATGGACTGAGAGAAAAAAAAATACTGTTGCTCTATTCACGTAAGGCCGGTCATCTCCGAAACTCCAGCTGGAATGATTTCTAGATTAATATAGAATATTGTCTACGACAGCACGCTCAACCCGGTATATACACGCTCAGAAGATTATGCAATAGTAAATATGGCAAACCCAATCCATGCCCCATGAAACACCTTGCACCTCCCAGACACCAAGCAACACCGCTTCCTGCTGCCAGCATTCATGCGCCCCGCTGGATGTTGGTCGACATCAACGTGATCTTCTTGTTCTTCTTCTTGCGGCCACCCGACGGAGTGGCAGAACCCTCTCCCATGGCCTGGGCGACCAATTCCTTCTCTTGCTGCCCCAGCAGCTCCTCCTCCCAGCCCTGAAGCCACCCGTCGTTGACGGGTCTCGATGGAGGAGGCGGCGAGCTGGGTGCAACTGCGGCCGTGCCCCACACCGTCCTAGGGCCTGGCGGGCTGGTCGAAGGCGACGCGAGGGCACCGAACCGCGACTGCATCCGGGACGGCGATGGAGGCGACGTCGCCGGCGCATTCGTATCACCCGAATCTGCTGCCGCCGCGGCCGACCCGGACAGAGGCAGGAAGTCGTCGTCGGTGAACGGCCGCTCCACGGTCCCGTAGCTGGGTCGCCGGCGACGAGCGGCCGCCCAGCGCTTCTCCTCTTCCTCCTTTTCCGCCCGGATCCGCTCCTTCTCTTCCCTGGCAGCCTTCTCCCGGTTGCGTCGCCTCCTCTTCTCCGTCTCGGGGCGAAAGCGTTCCAGGATCTCCGGACTGACGAGATCAGTCCAGTCACATTCCAGGAAGTTGACCTCACAACCATAGGGTAGATGGCCCAGATATTTGGCTCGTTTCCGCAGCTCGTCATCCACAATATGTCCAGTAGATATATGCTCCACCCGCGGGAGAATTGTGGCGGGAAATAGCGAGTAATCCCCAAATGCCGCCTTCAGGATGCGAATGTCGAGCGGAGAGAGGTAGAAGTGCGGCAAAGCTTGGTAGAAATAATACGGCTGATCGCCATGCGAGCTTGTGTTGTCTCGCGCACGATCCGCTGTTTTCGAGGCGCTGACGGCGCCTTTATCCTTCCGTCTGGACCCCGCTTCAGAGTTGGCGCCCACCTTCAAATCGCTCATGGCACTAGAAAGCTCCTCGGTATCGCCTGATGCGGGGGGTGCGTTGGACGGATCTGCCGTTGTGCTGGACGTAGACATGGATTCGGTCGAGGACGAAGTTTGGCCTGACTTGACAGAATGCTGGTACACGTACATGTCAGGCACACCGTCCGGCGGTGGCTCGAAGCGGATGGGATCGCGAGGCGGCTTCTTCTCTGCCCGCACGATATCCGGTGGATTGCCAATCCCTCGGATCTTCTCCTTGGCCTCATTGATGCTGCTAATGGCTTTTTGCGTCCACGTCGTATCGTCACCATATAGGAGCTCATCCTCTTGTTCCTGCCGTTTGAGATCCTCAATCTCGGCATCATACTGAGCCATCATGTAATCTTCACCGCCCTTCATAATCCGAGCATAGTCTGCCACTTCTGCCGCGTGATACCACGGGACGTCTTCGTCCGGTCCTAGCTCTTCCGCCCCGTCACGAGGGAGTGCCAGCGTGCTCCCCGGTTGCCGTTTTACCAGCCGCAACACCACGTCGCCACCTTCGACGGGAAGCTCGCCCTCTTGGCCAGTGAACCACCGGACGGGCCGAGTGTCAGAGATGAAGATGGTGTCCCAACAGATGGGACATTTCTTCCAGCGGGGCTTTTTCTCCGGGACGGGATTCTCGTCGTCGGTGGAATGCATATAGCGGATCAGGCACGGGAAACAGAAGATATGACCGCATTTCGCCATTCGAGGCGCGACGGGCATCGACAAACAGATGGGGCAGCTCGCCGCTTGGGTTTGGGCGGACGCTAGGACCTGGAGGACGCAATTCCAGTCCAGATACACGTCGGCGTTGGCCGCTTGCGCATGGTAGCTATGCTTCGGATTGACAATGAACCGGTAGTTGGCGTGCACGTATCGAGCCTTGTCCACCGCGTGGTATCCCGAACCTAGCCCCCAGGTCGGATTGCGCCGGGTGTTGCGGGGGGGAGGGTGGTACTGTGGCCGCGGAGGCAGCAAGAAGTTCATCAGATGGGTAATGGACGTCTGTCCTTTGCGGCTCGTTGTCGACCTCATGACGACCTGGCATGCCATTAACGCTGTGCCGCCATCTATCATCACTCACTGACGATGCAGGTGGAGTGATCCCAGAGGCAAGGGGACGGATGCAACTTACAGACTCGGTATAGGCATCCTCATTCGCCAGAGCCGGGCGCCGATGCCGCTTGTGTTGATTCTTGCGAGGCTGGTTATTCTTCGCAGACGAAACCTGCCTCGACGTGGAACCAGCGCCAAAGCTGCCGGAGCCTCCTGGGCGTCGTTGAGAACCACTGTCGGCCGATGCGGGGGCAGACTGGAAGGACGCCGGAGAGGAGGAGAGATTCGAGGAGTTGGCTGCCTTGGAGGAACCGAGACCCTGCCCCGCAACGGACGACATATCTCTCGATCCCCTGACGATGGAATCCTGCCTGAGAGCAGCGGAGTCGGATCGAGATGGAATGAAGGACGGTGGGGAGAGCAGGGCCTCCTGACGACAGGGGAAGCAGCTAATTCCACGGACTCGACGCAGCGTGCAATGAGATCACGCAGCAGGAAGAAGCAGTGGTGCACTCAGCAGACATGCAGCGTCCAGAGGGGATGCTCCCGTCAAGAGAGGAGGAGGATGGAGGGAGGAGTCTCCGAAGGCCTCTCACCCTCCGGGCACTGCTGGACGCTCGAGTGTTGACGGATTGCCCCTCGACTTATGTCATTCCAGCGCATGTCTTGGCGCGCCAGCCCAGCGCATGGCCTGGCCCAGAGATCTCAGCAACCATCATCGATCGCTCTTGATTACCAGGTTCTCTTAGATAGAAAATCAGGATTCACTAGGAAGCCATAGGCAATTACAATTAATACAATGCGTTTTGAACGTTGGTCGAGTGTTTCACAACCTGGTAGATACTCTATTGAGAACTGCCTCACTTGGATTAAAATTTAAATTCTCTACGTCCACCGTATTCTTCAGATACCAGCCAGAGGGAAGAGTAATAATAATCGTCACTGCATCCACGATCCTGGCTGCGATGTTGCAGGCATGAGATCTGACTGAGGCCGGAGTGAGCGGTGACTGCTTTGCTGCTGGCTGCCTGGCTGCCTCAGGCACGTGCCGCGCACGCCAAAAACATCATCCACGCCAACTCGTTTTCCCGCAGCAGTCAAGAAGTCACCTTCACCATCGCCGGGGCTGCCTGCCACTCCCTCCCTCGCCCAGCTGCGTCGTGTGCTTCGAGACGCCTGTCTCCCCAGTGCTGCTTTCTGCCCGTTCTGGCCCCGATCTGGTGAGTGCCGTTTTCGCAACCTGGGCCTGTTGCTGCCCTGTGAAAAAAGCCCCCCCAAAAAACTGACGCTTCCTCTCAGCCCTCCAGCTTTGGCCGTGTCTTGGAGCCCCCATTCCCCGAGAGAAACCGTGTTCGAGCACTCGTGTGGCCTGGCACGCACTATGGCTACCTAGGCCAGGGCCGGATCTCCTCGACTGTTGGATGCTTCCTTGGTAATTGCTTCGCATGGCTCCCATTGAGGCAAGGCAGCCCGCCCGACGTGCCTGGACATGATGAACCATCATCTGCCCGCAATGCCCCATGGGCAGCCGCCCATGCCTCCTCCGCGCCGGCAGCATGAGATGCACTACTCGACTGCGCCCCCCAGCATGCGTTCGCCCCCCGCGTACATGGGTTACCACCCGCCGCCTGTCAACGGCCATATGCCCCCTGCCTACGCTGCCCAGCAGTACCCGCCGCCCTGGTATTCGTATCCGCAGATGCACCCTCCTCCACCGCCGCCGCCCCCGGGTGCTGCGCCGCCTCCGGGGCCTCCTCCTCCACGCCCGTACCAGCCTCCCTACGCGCCGTTGATTGTCTCGTCCTACCCGCACTCCCAGCCCGTCCTGGCGCCTGCGCATGTCCCGCCTCCCACTCTTCCTCCCCAAGCGCGTTCGGCGGCCTCGACTCCCCTTCAATCCACCATGTCTCCGCCGCCAGGACCGGCCTCGAATGAAAAATCCGCTTTGCCAGTGAATCCGGCGACCAACCCCGCCACTCCCTCTCCTTCAGTCGCCGAATACCCCAGACCCATCCTGGCTTTGCCACGGCCATTTCGCGCACCGGTAAGTCAACATAGAAGGAAGAAAAGAGAATTTCATGCTGACGAGATCTGCTCAGCTCCCTTGGCTTTCTGTTCCGGAGAAACCCTTTCCTACTCGTGCTCCTCGCAGACGTCGCAATGCTCGTTCTTTACAGACCTCTGCGGTTGCGGTCGAACTCCCTGCGAAGGAGACGCAACGAAGGGACAATGTGGCTTCGGATCAGACACAGGATTCGCACCAAACAAAGCCTGCAGATGCGCCGGCTACGATGCCGTCGGAACCTCAGACTCCAATCACCTCGCATGCCCCGTCTGAGACGGACTCGACCCATCCGACTACGCCGTCCTCCGCCGCTCCCGCTCAGGCTACCGCGCGACCTCAGAACCAGGCTCAATCGCAGGCGAAGACCTCAAAACCGGCCGTGCCGCTGGTTCCGGTGGTCCCCATTGTTCCCCAGACTCCCAGCACTCCTCGGCCACAATCCAAGGAGACTCCAGGCCAGACGTCTTCTGCGACGCCAGATTCCGTGGTCGCCACTAGCAATACGGTGACGGAGCCTGTGAAAGGAGAGCCGGCTGAGTCGACTCCAGTACCAACCGGGAAGCCCCCCTCCCCTCCTCGTGCAGCTCCCAAATCATGGGCCGATCTGGTTCGATCCAAAGCGCCGCCTCGTGGTGCCGGCCAGGCTGGAGGTGCTTCGACCGAAGCCGGCGGCCTGCCAGCGGCTCGGAGTGAATCCCTTGTTGATGTCCTGAATAGTCTTGGTCCCGATGTCGACCAATACGGGGAGAAGATCGCCTTCCTGGAGCCGAGGGGCCTGGTCAATACGGGGAACATGTGCTACATGAACTCGGTAAGTTGTGTCACCATCCATGTGTCTGGCAGGTGTCACTGACCAAGCCATCGCAGGTGCTTCAAATTCTGGCTTTCTGCGTGCCTTTCTATCAATTCCTTGATTATGTGGGCCGCAGAGCCACCCATAGTTTCAAAAGCAACCTTCCTTTGATCGATGCCATGTAAGCAGACACAGAGAAGGGGTTTTTTTTTTCCCGTCATATGAACCATGTCTAATAATGACATATAGGATCATGTTCCTGAGAGAGTTCCGAGTGATCGATGCCGCGCGATCGGAGGAGCAGTTGCGACTGAGACTAAAGCATACTGAGCTGGAGGAGTATGGCGACGCATTCATTCCCGAGTATGTCTATCAGGTTATCCGTCAGCTGCCGAGATTTAGAGACATGCGGGTATGTTTTCCTCAATCGGAACCGCTCCGCATTCGCTTGCTAACGGTGACTTAGCGTGGCCATCAACAAGACGCTCAGGAATTCCTAGGGTTTCTTTTGGAGGAGCTGCACGAGGAATGCACTCAGGCCATGCGAAGCGGGACTGCAGCAGGGTCCGACGCGTCCACTCCGGCAGAAACTGACACAACCGCTTCTGGCGACGGTCCCTCTGCGGACGGCTGGCTGGAAGTCGGTCATAAGCAAAAGCCCGCTATTACGCGATCTTCCGGTCACATTGCATTGGAATCACCCATCACGAGGATCTTCGGCGGGAAGATCCGCTCCGAGTTCAGAGTCCCTGGCAATAAGAATTCGGTTACTCTGGAGCCGTACCAACCCCTGCAACTCGACATTGGATCCCCAGAAGTTAGCAATATCGTCGATGCGCTGAAAGGGTTGACGAAGCCAGAGACCATTCATGGCGACTTCAACTCGTCCCGAGGCCCCAAGGTGACCGCAACCAAGCAGGTCTTCATTGAGACACTGCCCCCGGTTCTCATCTTGCATCTCAAGCGCTTCCAATATGACAGTGTCACCAAGGGTACGCAGAAGATCTGGAAGAAGGTTGGATATCCCTTGGAGCTGGAAATTCCGCGGGAAGTTTTCCCTCCTCATAGACGCAACGCGTTGGCCATCCATGGTGGTCTCCCCAAGTACCGTCTCATTGGGGTTATTTATCACCACGGAAAGAATGCCAGTGGCGGCCACTATACGGTGGACGTCAGGAGGCAGGATGGCCGCGAATGGATTCGTATGGATGATACCGTCATCCGTCGTGTCCGGAGTGAGGACGTTGCTGAAGCGGGTAGTGAGGAGGATCCCAAGGTGCTTGCCGCCGCCATGGAGCAGCACAAGCGCGACAGGAATCCAAACAGCAACATCTACGAGCAGTTCGACCAGGATGACGAAGACCCGGCTGATAGTGAGAATGGATGGAGCCAGGTGAATGGGACTGGCTCGAGCGGTCATTCAAGCAAGAAATCCATGTCGAATGAAGTCTCCTCTCCCGGAAGAAGGACCCCCATTGGAAGATACGGAACTCGCGACAACAAAGTCGCGTATCTCTTGTTCTACCAACGTATCTCCGCCCCCTGAGCGCCTTTATCACCATGCAGCGTTCACGGTGATCTTAAACGTTTTTGCGTCACTGGGTCCTGCTCCACACCGTCAGTGCCACCGGCGCCGACCATGTTCCGATTTTACACATATATTTCGCGGCCTAGATATTATTTAATCTTTTTTTTCCCTTTTCAACAAGTGCGACAACCGATTTGGAGTATTTTCTCTTGCGGCTGCAGGCGAGTGTACATAAGGCGGAATGTGTGTTTTTTTCTTGCTTTTTTCTTTTTACCTTTTCGTTTCTTTTCTCCTCTTCTTTTCCTTTTAACGACGCCTTATGTAGTCCATATGATTACGACTTACACTCATGACCTCTTGATACTGTCAAGGGGGGACGTTGACGCACGGACATGACCTTGCAAGGCCGTTATTCCGTTTTGATCGAAGGAACTCTCTGCACTCGTCCCTTTCGCCTGCAGTCAACACGGGAAGGGTATTTTTTTATCTTTCCCCCTTTTCTTTTCCCCTTCTCTCTCTCTCCTTTTTCGGCTGAACACCCTTCCCGCCATGTTTTCTTTTTTTTTCCATGGTTGTCATGATGTTGTCTTTTTTTTATGCTTTTTTTTTTCAGTTGCCGGACTCACATCTAGCTCTGGGTGTGTCTGGGTCTGGAATATACCCCGTCTTTTCTCCCTTGCATGCTCGTATCTTTTCCATTGTCCTTTCATTTCTCCAGGTGCGGATTCATCAAAAGTTCTGATGCTTGACGTGGATCCAGTCGAATGATATCGATAGCCTGTGATGTGCGTGTGCATTATTTCATAGACGGTTGTTTCCCATGCAGGATGGAAGATGAGAGAAAAAAAAAACAGGAGATGGGATATCTCTACGACGACATGCGATCGGTTTAGGGCTGAGTGGACTGGGGATGCATTGGTGGTGAGACAGGCGGTTGTTTGGAGGGAGATTTTTCATGGGTAGGATATGGCGATGGGGCATTATTGTTTGCTCTTTCTTTCCAGCCTCTTTTCCTGTTCCTTTGCGAGCGTGGACTCAATCGACGAACCCGACTCCTCATGAGCAGGACGAGGTGATTTGAGCCCTGGTCTGGATGTCTGGCGGACGGGCAGACGGCCGTACTTACTTCAAGTTCGTCTTCAACGAAAAAAAAGTGTATGTATGCGCCTACGTATGTATGTATGGTGCCGTTCGGCGGAAGACCAAAAATATAAAAGTTTTCTTTCGTTATAATAGCCTAAACAGAAACTGCGTGCTAGTCTGTAGACGTTCAATTGTATCGACACTGCGGTAATATTACGTGTTTTGGGCGGAGGATGTGACGGGACGATGTACCGCCCGGTAACGAGCCTGGCCACTTCTCCGCCTTGATCAAGTCCACACGCATTGCCATTCGGACATGCTCAGGAGACTGGGATCGATTTCTCTGCTCCCTCAGTTGCGCCGACATCGTGCTCGACCATCGCTACCTGGGCACAGCGCTGCTCTCTGTCTCCGGCCATCGTTGCAACCCCCGCCTCCCCTCCTCTTTTCGTCGATCCAATCACCTCCTTGCAAAGCAACCCTCTCGCCCTCCTCCTCCAAGCTGCGGCACGACACCCGCAATATTAATCCCTGCGCCCTCCCTCATCTCTCACGCTTCAATTCCGGGCGCGCAGTCGCTTTGAAGCTGAATCCCGAGATTCCTGCCGAACTCGCACCACGATCTCGACTCGGTTCTTGCTTCCGGTTCGGAAGCTGTGCTCCTGGCGGAGCGGGACATCAAGTTTCCTGTCCGCAGTGATCTCAGCGGAACGCTCAACGATTGTTCTGGCGAGCTTGTCAAGGACGGCACGGACGGCAATTTCATGTCGAGCGGTGAATGAGAAAAGCTTGTTCGCGGCTATCAATCCTCAGCGGCTCTTCTCGACCTTGTCAGACGACTCCCTCTTCCTCTTCGCAGACACCATGAATAACGCTACGACGACTCCCTCTCCAAGCCCGGGCCCAGCCAGCGGTTCGCCCACGCAAACAACAGGATCCGCCGTCAGCGCCGGCACGAAGCGGAAGAGAAGCCCAGCGACCAAATACTACGCTGTAAAAGTTGGTTTCCGGCCCGGGGTATACGACAACTGGAATGACTGTCTGGCGCAGGTCACCGGATACAAAGGCGCTGTCTGTGAGTTTCTGCGGTACCCAGATAGATTGTCCGGGGTAGTCTCTCCTGACAAAGGTCTTTTTATTCAGTTCAATCTTTCCCTACGGTCGAAGAGGCAAATTCGTTTCTGACGGGGCAGAATGTATCCTCTTCCAAAGGAGCCACTATGTCCGAAGCGGAGCCGACACGGTTCTATGCCGTGCAGCGCGGACGTGTCCCGGGAGTTTACTCTGACTGGGCGAAGGCCCAGGAACAGATCAGAGGCTTTGCTCGTCCTCGATACAAGAAATTTTCCACCAGAGCCGAAGCGGAAGAGTTCGTGCGACTGGGGCAAGAGTCAGGCTCCGCGACCGGCACTACGGGTTCGCTTCCAGGGGCTCCTGGGATGACGGAGGAAAACCCTCGCGACGAAAATGGGGTCGAGCTGCCAGCAGGCACTGGTCCTCTTCCGCCTGGTGCGGAAGATGGGTTCGATCCGAACATCCTCCTGGACCCGACGACGGGCAAGGTGGTGTATAAGACTAAGGAGCAGAAAACGGCAACCAAGGCCATGCCGACCAGTTCACCAGGCATGCTACGGATATATACAGACGGTAGTTCACTACGAAATGGCTCGAATATTGCGCGTGCTGGGATAGGGGTCTACTTTGGACCGGGAGACAGTAGGTAGGCTCATCGAGACGATTCTGTCCGTGTGGGAGCCCCCCTACTGACACACTTCCTTTTTTACCGCTCAGCAGGAATGTCTCCGAACCTCTCAAGGGTAATCGCCAGACGAACCAGCGGGCTGAACTGACCGCGATTCTTCGGGCTCTGGAAATTGCGCCGCGGCACCGCGATGTCACCATTTTCACCGACAGCCGCTATGCCATTGACTGTGTCACGGTCTGGTTTGTCAAATGGCGCCGCAACAAGTGGTTGACGGCGGACGGCAAGCCGGTCGAGAACAAAGACCTGATCGAGTCGATCCTGGTCAAGATCGAAGAGCGCAACCTGCTCAAAGTCAAGACGCTGTTCGAATGGGTCAAGGGGCATAATCGCGATCCGGGCAACGAGGCTGCCGATCAGCTCGCGGTCAAGGGGGCCATGAAAGGGGGCGCGGAAGACAGTGCCGACGCTCTTCCTGCCACCGAGGATATCCCTGAGGAAGTGGTCGCCGACGACGACGATGTGTGATGTGATGCAGGATCATCCGTGCCATTCCTTCCATGTAGCTGTTTGATTGTCCTACGATGGACTGGACATGGGAATCGTGTGGTTTCTTTCCTTTCTCTGTTTCTCCTCTGGGACTGGGTCAGGGACGGCGTTGGTTGATGAATGGACATGAGACGTGCATCCAGTTTGACCAGCTATAGATATGTATCTCTGTTCATTTAGTGATAACGATGCCAGAATGCTATTTTCGTCATGTCTGCATCAATTGTCTCGTGAGAATAATAGCATAGTTAATCGTATTAGTATTATTAATGACAGGACTAGTGCCTGAGCCTTCGGAAGCTCTCTGACCGCATCTCCGGCGGGGACTAAGAAGCAAAAAGAACAACCGGCGGAGTCGGCTGCGGCCAAGCGCGTCTCCGAACCACGCGATTGATCGCTCAAATCGACTAATCTTTGCATCCAGGATCATCTCTTATCTTAGCTTGGCAGTGAGCTGCTGAGCCTGGCCCACCTCCATTCGAAAAACTTCCACGACTTGAGTCTCTCTCTCTCCTCCTTCTCCTCGACCTCATCAGCGTCATCCTTCTCCCGGGCTGTCCTCTAGCCACGCCGGGTCTTCTTCCTCGCCTTCTCGTCTCCAGCTTCGAGTGTTCAGTCGCAGCAATTGTCTCTCTCGTTCGCACCACTGCAGGTGCGGGGAAAACATCCGATCTCTCCTCTCCAGTGCTGTCTGGCTACTAGACAGTGCGTCTTCAAAGTGGCCTCTCCAGCAGGTCTGTCGGACTCGCACATGATTGCAAGGCTGTTCTTCTTCTGCTTGACGGTCAGCTTCGAAATTGTGGTTGAATAACACTGGCTGGATCTGGTATCTTTCTGGCAGCGCGTCTGTCGGTGATACGAATACTGCATTGCATCTGCTGCTGCGGCTTGCACGTGGGCCAAGCCCGACCAAGACAAAGAAGAAAAAAAAATCTCCGATCACCACGCAGGATGCCGACCCTCGGGACAAGCGACTTCAACATCGTGTGTGCCACGCTGGGAGGGTTCATCAGCCTCTTCGGGCTGGTGTCCTACCTCTTCAAGGAGCGGTTCTATCTGTCGGAAGCCTGTCCGTCCCTCCTCTTGTTGTTGCCCTCCTGCATGGCCTCTCCCTGACCTGACCCGTGGTGTTAACTGGATTTTTTGGTGGTTTACAGTGATATCAACGCTGGCTGGCGTTGCCTTCTCTCCTCATGCTGCCAATTTCATCCGGCCGCTGGACTATGCCCTGCATTCGCCGGTCAATCTGGAGGCCATCACCATGTACTTCACCCGCCTGGTCCTGGGCGTCCAACTGGTGCTGGCCGGCGTGCAGCTCCCCGGCCGCTATCTGCAGACCGAGTGGAAGAGTCTCACCCTTCTCCTGGGCCCCGGCATGACCGCCATGTGGCTGTGTAGTAGCCTGCTCATCTGGGGGCTCGTGCCCAACATCTCGTTCCTGCAGGCTCTTGCCGTCGGGGCCTGTGTGACTCCCACCGACCCGGTGCTGTCGAACTCGATTGTCAAGGGCAAATTTGCAGACAAGAATGTCCCGCGTCCGTTGCAACGGATCATCGTGGCGGAATCGGGTGCCAACGACGGTCTCGGCTATCCATTCCTTTTTATTGCACTCTATCTCCTGAAGTACGTGCATCACGGCGGCCAAGGCTTTAGTGGGGGCACCGGCAAGGCCATCGCAATGTGGTTCTACGAGACGTGGTGCTATGAGATTCTCTTGAGCATCGCATACGGAATCGTTGTCGGCTGGCTGGCGATGAAGTTGCTCCACTGGGCGGAGGAGAAGAAATACGTCGATCGGGAGAGCTTTCTGGTGTTTGCCATCTCGCTGGGAGTAAGCATTTCCTTTCGTCCGACGAAATAGCGGCGTCGCTAATGTCGAAAGTTATTCATCATGGGCACGTGTGGTCTGATCGGGACCGACGATCTTTTGGCCTGTTTTATTGCCGGCAACGTTTTTACTCAGGAGTGAGTTGGACTTTTTAGTTCAGTTCAGTGGTATAGTCACTAACGACACGCAGTGACTGGTTTCGCCTGGAAACCATGGACGACTCGCTCCAGCCGACCGTCGACATGCTTCTCAACCTGGCCATCTTCATGTGGTTTGGTGCCGTGTGCCCGTGGGCGTCGTTCGCGGACAACGATATCATCCCCCTGTATCGGCTGGTGATTCTGGGGATTTTGATCCTGATCTTCCGCCGGTTGCCCATCGTCTTGGCAATGCACAAGTACATCCACCAGATCGAGCACCTGGCCCAGGCGGCGTTTGTCGGTTTCTTTGGACCGATCGGGGTGGGCGCCATCTTTTACTTGTCAGTCAGTCGACAGTTCCTAGCTGAACAGGTGCTGGTCGATGGGAAGCCACGAGAGGACGCGCAGAAGGTGGCCGACACGACCAACATTGTGGTCTGGTTTCTTGTGATCTGCAGTATTGTAAGCATCACTTTCCCTTGTATATGTGTGTGTATGCGTGTGTGAGTGTATATTAACCATCCTAGATCGTACACGGGTTGAGTGTTCCCCTGGGCAAAGCCGGCTACCATCTCCCACGCACCATCTCCAGCGCACTGAGCAACTCATCCACCATAGAACCGGAACCGATCTCTCTGCCCAGCAATCGACCGACGCACAGCACGGCGACCCCAACGCATGCCCTCCGCTTCTACCGGGGCCGCAAACGCGGCGACAAGGGAGGCCGCGAGCAGCCGCCCACGCAGACAGTCTTCCGCATCGGGCGGTCGACGGTACGCGAGAGATCTCCGGCAAAAAGCCCACCAGAGACGATGCCGACAACACCAGCGCCTGTGCAAGAGCCTGATCGGCCGGTTCGGCTGGTGGGGGAGGACGGCCATGTGACCGAGACGCTGCATTCGACGGCGAACTGATGTCGATAAGCTGTCGATCAGCTTGACAAATTCGCCGCTGGTCTAGACAAGAATCGTACAGTACAGTACATACCTTACGTATGGAGTACATACATATCTCCCCGTACATACTTACTACTGCAGACAACTACATAGAGAGTCGATACAAGATAACCGCACCACTCAACTCGATCATTCATTACTAACTAGACTGATAAGAAAAGGATTTTTTTTCCCCCTTCATTTTCATGGAAATACTTTCTTTCTTTCTGTCTTTCTCTAATACACACACAAAAAAGAAAAAAAACAAAAAAAATCTTTTATTTTTTGTTCGGTTTTTTGATTCTTAATTTTTATCCTATAGAAATATTGATTTTTGATTTCTTTTTCCCCTTCTGTCTATCTATCTATTCTATCGCGCTCTCGCGTTAATTGATATATATATATATATCCATATCCATACCATAGTCAGTCATAGACGCAGACATATTGATTGATCGATCAAAATCAATTAGATTAGATTAGATTAGATTAATTAGATCAGGAGATAGGAATAGAAAATTATTCACGTACATATGTACAGTACATACATGCATATATATACGGACATTACATACATAGACTCATATCTATTAAATACCCAATACAAGTCGGTATCTAGTATCCCTCTATTTTATCCATCTAGTTAGCTGGCTACCTAGGTTGGTACCTACTACCTAACTAGGTAATTCACCGACTATTTAGCTAGTGTATGTATGTACATGTACATACTGTTACTACTGTATACACTTACCTACTTCCTTCCTTACCTACTTACCTAGTATTGTACTGTGTACATAAATACTATATATAGCTCGACGGAAATGGCAATGAAGACAGCGATAGCGATAACGATAGAGATGAGATACTCCTGAGAAAGGGGTATTGTATTGAATAACCAATTGCATTTATTTATATTTATATTCATGTGCTTGATTTGTTTGATGCCTTCATCATGGATTGATATTGATATGAGATTCGACTGATTGACTGATTCCCTCTTCCTCTCCTTCTTCTCCCTGTCTCGTAGTTATGTCTGTCTGTTTGTTCGTTTTCTTTCTTTCTGGTTGATCTTATTCATCTCATCTCATCTCTTTTTTTCTCTTTTGGTGTCTGTTGAAACACGTATCTATCTGCCTACATACATACTTATCACCTATCTAGCTAGCTAGCTATCTACCTCGCTAGCTCTCCACCTACCTGGCTAGCACATCTTCGCCGGACGGACAACCTCCTCCATTTCTATCGCTGCCGCGGCCTCTGCCTCCATATCGGTCTCTGCCCTGTTTATATGTCTGTCTTGTGTTGATGTCTTGGTTAGGTTGACTTCTGAGGATTGTCCCTCCTTTTGCTTCTCCTTTTCCTTCTTGTGGTCCGGTGGTAATTCCTCGTTGCTTTCGCTTTTGCTTCCCTCTCCTTGTGCTTCTGCTTCTGCTTCTGTTTCTACTGCCTCTTGCATTCTCTTCCTCGCCACGTCTCGCTTGTTCAACGCTCGCACCACAAAACACACCACAATCATAACACCCGACATGGCCGTCGCCGTGATGAATCCCTTGTGGTACCGCGGCGCGTCCACCTGCTGCCAGACGATCAGCGGGAGCCAGATCTGGACGATGTAGGCGACTTCGTGCATCGAGGCGAGCGTAATTGCGCGTTCTTCGCTGTCGTCTTCGCAGATTTCGTTTGCCCAGCTGTACGAGATTAGGTCTGTCCATACACACATATATATAAGTAGGTAGGTGTGCGACATACGCCATGCACAGTCCACCCACTGCGTGCCCTGCCCCTACGGCGATAAAGCAGGTCCATTTCCACCAGGTGGGAATGTCCCACACGGCCAGCGAGAGGTGGCAGATGACGTTGACCATCTACATACTGTCAGTTTCTCTTTCTCGTCGACATACTGAGACTTACCCCGCCGAAAACAAGAGCCGGCCAGCGACGTCCTCGGAGGATCGTATCAGATGACCCTGCGAGAAAGTAGATATATTAGCGTAGAGTAGTCTTTCTAACGAGGAAAGCCTTCTTACACGCATAGATAATGATCATCGCGATCTGCACGGCCGATGTCGTCGTCGGATAGGTGTTGATTTGCGTGATTGAGTATTTCGGGTGCGTCGAGTGTCGAAGATATCTATACAAAATCAGCAAGCTGATTCTTTGGACCGTGACGACAAACGTACTGCTGGAATACCGGCTGTGATCCCCCGTTGCCATTGCTGAAGGTTCTAAGCAGTGGTCAGCATCATCACATCCATCACATCACGAGGGGAATTTTTTAGAGGAGCTCTTAAGAGGAAACTTGCTTGCTTGGACTTACAAATAGAGAAACGATAAAAGATAGATGCGCCAGGAGGATAGCATCCGCTTGATCTTGGCCTTTGTGTATTTCGCCCGGGGCTTTCTCCCCTCGAGTTCCATGCGTTTCTGCGCGAGGGAGATTTCCTGTTGTCGTTAGAAAAGAGTCAGAAAGAACGGAAGGGGGAAAAGAAAAGAAAGATTGATTGATGGCTTCTACCCACCCTCTTAGTCAAATACCACGATTTCGTAATCTCAGGCACGTCAGGGAGGATAAAATACCCGCCGAGCGCCATAGGCAGGGAGATTGCCCCGTCTACTAGAAAGAGCCTGTGTACGATACCATGTCAGCTGAATACATTGTCATATAATTCGGATAATTTGGAGTATATTCTCACCACTGCCACCCCTTATACCCACCCACGCCACCCAGGTGATACACCCCAGCCATCAGATACCCCGACATCATCGATCCGATGCAGCTGAAGATCTGCACGATGCAGGATCTCTTCCCGAGCTCGTCTCGTCGGTACCATGAGCCGATCGTATATTGGATACCGGGGTAGTAGCCACTCTCTGCGAGACCTTTTTCTTGTCAATATTCTAGTAGATCTTTGTTTGATAGAATAGGATAGCCCACCGATAAAAAATCGAATGACGTAAAACTGGTACGGTTTGTTGCATTTCGACAGCGCTATTGTGAGAATCGACCAGATTACCTGCAGAAAAAGAAACTTAGCATCCCATATATATATATGCATAGGTATATGATCTGAACTAGTACTTACCTCCAGACTAGGAATCCAGTATCGCGGCCGCGTGCGAGTCAGGATAATGTTGCTGGGGAGCTGCCCTAACATGTATCCTATTGCCCAGGCCGTGTGCATGTAATTCAGCTGGTTTTTGTACAGGCCGAGATCCTCTTTCCTGCAATCATCAATTAATTAGTAACAGTTGCTCAGTTGCTTCCAGAGGTGCGATGCGTACATTCCCGAGACAAAGGCACTGTTGATATTGACAGAGTCTATACTCTTGACAAAGTATCCTTAAAACATGTGTTAGCAAGTAGTCACAAATCTAGACAGGCTGACAGCGCATACCGATCGAAGCAAAAGATAGAATCGCCGCATCCAGCTTGAAAAGCAGCTTTCTCTCCTCCGGCGGCTTGTCGAACGTGTCCCATAGATAACTCACGAGTTTCGGCTTCTTCAGCTCCTTCTGGATAATGTCCCCTGCTTCGACACTCTCTACCGTGGACGTCCTATCTATCGCCGTTTTTGTAGTCGTTTCGGCGCCCATGATGACAAAAACTTTTTTTCTGTGCTTCTTGTATCAGAAGGGATAGACTGTTGTAGATGTAGAGAGCAACGAATCGCGACTAGACGTCATATAAAGGCTGGTATGGTATGGTAACTTTTGAGAACGGATCGTAGATAATCTAGCAGCAGTCTAGTAGTAGTGATATACATGCATACACGATTGATCCGCACAGTGGGGTTTAATATTGAGAGAAAACAACTCGAGCGATGACCAGAGCTGGCTGCATTGAGTCCAGATCACGATATCAGACAGCGTGATTTGCTCCGCAGCCATCATTCCTCATGTTGCGAGAAGCAAGCAAGCAAGCAGCAACCTCTTCGCGCAATTGGGTGCATGTCGTACGACAGCGACGGGTCTGGCCCTCGAGAGCAGGATCGAGTACGACGGACATTCCACCGGCGAATGAGATTATGGAGGAAAAATCGTAGAAAGGGAGGCAGGCAGGCAGGCATTCCCCAGATCGGAGCCATTGGGATGGCGCGGAGATAACATCGCAGATAGATGGTAAAAACAGAAACAGAAAAGGCAGACCACCTCGACGGCCGGTGGTACTGCCATCTCGTGTAATGTTACGCGCAGAAGATTCGGATCGACCACGCAGGGAGCCAGATGAGAGGGAAAATCGCCGTGCTGGATGGAGCTGGTTGGGAGGAGCGAGGTGGTGGAGAGCAGCAGCCGTTGGAATGGGAGAAACAGAGAGAGCGTCGCGTCGGGATCACGAGACCGGGATGTCCCCTTCCTCATCCACACAGCTTGATCTGATACTGCTTCTGGTTCTGCTTCTCCTTCTGCCTCTGTCAAGCTCTCTCGCCAGTCAGTCTTTTGCGGTCATGCTGTGCAGCCTCGCACAGTTGCCATGACTAAGTTCTTACCGAAGGGAGCCTGCTGCAGCTCCCGTCAGTGCGACACAACCATCCATCCATCTCTGGCATTGTGGAAGCAATCGATCGAATACAGATGCGCTGTCTGTCTCTTACCAGCAGTACTGATTGATGGACCCCTTGTTTGAGCTGATAGCATAGCCATAGCTATAGCTAATGCGTGAACAGCCAATCAACGGCCTGCGCGCTGCACATTCCTGCGCAGAGCAGTGCAGCGATTCACAACACTATCGATCCTCTGATCCAGACTGTTGGTGTCTGCTCTATTCCATCCCTTCGTCCGACACTACTGCCTTCGATGCAGTCGAGATTGCTAGTACAATTGACGTGACGCTGGCTGACCACCGACGTGGCCGCCGGGTTCTCCGGATATCTGGAGATCCCCATGAGATGGCTGCGGAAGAAAAAGGGTGTGGGACAGCATAGAAGTGTCGTCGATGCTGTCGTGCATGTGCTGCTCTGCGCTATCAATCAAGCGGCGATGAATGATCGACATCGGCCATGGCCACTCACCGTCCAGCGTCTTTGGGCTTTGGCAGACGCACCATGCAGATCCTTTGGGTCAGGCCTTGGCGTGGAGAACGTCTGGAGTGGGTAATAATCCGGGAGTGGCTTTTGATGGAATGTTTGATAATCAGGTGGCTGGCCAGTAGCCACAGCTGATTGATAGGATCAGTCCTCCGCTGGCAAGATGACAATTGCCTCCGGTGACAGGTATGAAGATCAGTGGGTCAGTATTGTCAAAACTGCAGACAAAGTGATGAAACAGACAAAGTAAGGAAGATCTAATGCATAATGGTTGGAATAACGGTGTGGACCCGCTGATATAAGCTAGATTGTCGTGTTTAGATAGCGAGGGCTGACGATGAATGTGGATATCCACCGAATACGGGATGTTTTAAGACTCTCTGGCTTTCTTTCTGCCATGGCGAAGTCATGAGAGTAAATGAGCTCTCTAAAGATTAAAGAGGTAGACACGATATACAGATCTACGAACACACCCGCACCAACGGCGCGACAATGACATCGCTCGACTCTTTCTTCTCTCCAGGAACACCAAACAAGGCCTTCATGCGCTCTAGCTGCTCCTCCTTGGCCTTCAACCAGGTAGGCGTGTGACCCTCGACCGGCGGCCGGCCATGCGCCGCGCCATCCCGGTTGATCCAGTCGAGCAGGTCCCGGACATACTCTTCCTCCTGGTTGTGCAGCGAATGGAAGACCCTGCCCACGCCCTTGGCGGCGAGTTTGGCCCTGTATTCTTCTCTCTGCTTGCTCTGTTCGGGCAGCTGGGCGTTGCCGGAGAAAACGGCGGCGACGACGATGGCCTGGAATTCGAAGAGCGTGAACGTCGCGGTGTAGTAGGGCACGCCGACGAATGCCAGAGTGGGGTCTGGGATGTAGAAGATGTCCTTGTGCAGGTTGTGCACCTGCGTGCCGTCCGTCACCAGGACTGTGTCGCTGGCGTCGGCGGGCGATGTCTCGTCGTCGTGGTAGTCGGGCAGGAAGGGCAGGGTGATGTGGTATCCGGTGCAGAGGATGATGGCGTGGATGTCGCAGAGCTTCTGACCGGACTTGAGATGGACGATGAGTGGGAGGGGGGAGTCAGACGAGAGTGTCGAGTCGGCAGTATTTCCTTTCTCTGTGATTTCAAAAGACTCGACCTCGCTCACCCGGATGCCATTCTCGGGCAAGGCGCTGGCAGGAAGATCAAAGAGCCCATTGCGGGAGCTCTGGTAGATTTCTCGCGCGACAGGGCCCAGTTCACGGGCGATATCAGTCGACGAGACGCCGGCTCCGAGGAGAAGGACGTTCTGCAAATTAGACTATAAGAAGCGCTGTCGAGTGTATGTACAGTACATACCTTATTCTCGAACCCCTCTGGATTCCTATACACCTTGGAGTGCCAGATCCGAGCTGGCCACCGCGCTTTCGACTCCGCCAGACCGGGGATGTCTGGAATTCTGGGGGCATGGTAGTGTCCGGACGCGACGACGACAGCATCAAACGTCTGCGGAGTTAACAAAGAAAACACTACTGACTATAAATTGAAAGCATACCGAATGATGCCTCTCTTCCTGCCACTGCTGCTGCTGCTGCTGTCTCAGCGTCGACCAGGTTACCTCCCACTTCGAGCCAGAGTCGTCATCGACCTTGCGGACGCGCAAGACCCTTGCTCCGTAGATAGTCACACTGTCCGCGCCGCATTTGCGCGCCGTATCCTGGATATAATCGCGAAGGACGTGATGGCTGACAAAGTCTGGCGTGCCGTCGGGCCAGGCGTTGAGTTTGGTGCGCATCAGCCGGGTTGCGACGTTGTTTTTGAGGTTGTCGTAGCAGGGTCTGCGAGCAGAATTAACATAAATACATACATTATTTTTTTATATTTGTGTTTCTATACCTACCCCGGCGGCGCATGCTTCAGGAGCAGTCGCGCATCTGATTCAATTCGTGGATCTGGATCATCATCACCCAACTGCTCCGCCTTGGAAGGCTTCGTAGACGGATAAGGAGGTTCAATCGGCCGTCTAGGATCGTGGAGCCTATCTCAACCACAATCAATTAGTTCTGAAGATTCTGACCATTTCCGCCGAGCTCAACTCACCAAACACCCCCCGCAGCATGGTTTCTCTCAAACACCGTCACCTGCACTCCAGCAGCCAGGAGATGGCCCGCTGCAGTGACGCCGCTGATCCCAGCGCCGATGACGGCGACGTGTTTGATGGTAGTCATGTGTGTGTATAAATATAAGCTTGTTATAGTGCTATAAAGTCAGTCAGATAGATGATCTATAGCAGGAGTAATAGTCCAGATATACTACAGTACAGACATCAAGTAGACACGCAATTCATTATTATCATTACCATCACTATCATTATTAATGCATCGAGCATAACATGCTCTAGAGGCAGCTAGCTAGCTAGCCAGCTAGCAGAACAATAATAGGCTTTCTTTAGTGCAAGATTCATGCGGAGATAGATACGAAATGTATGTAAGATAGAAGGATAGGGTTTTGTCCTAGTAAAAACGGAATAATACTGCATGGCGCAATTCACGGGGTTCATGATGAGATCTGTCTCGCATTTTTTCTATCGAATCGTATTGGTATCCTATCGTACCCTATCTTATTATTTCATGGGATTTCATGGCATGGAATTAATAACTCGTATCAGATGGAAATTGTACAATTAATACATACATATCCAACAGCAACAATACTTGCCATCAAATTGAACAGAAGTTGAACATCTACTACTCTATACCGGTACTTATCATAAATTACAATTCTATTGACGAGAATGATAATTGAGGAGGGGCTGACATACATTGTCCATACTATACATACTTGTTATAGTTATATGACTGTCGTAATGAACCTTGAAGATGATGTGATCCACCAACCAACCAACCCCTCACGACAAATCGAACGACGGTTGGCGTACGGAGTATTATCATTGAATTATCGTTGAGTTGAGTGAGTGTGATGATATTATTAATTAATTGATTGATCTTATTTATCTTAAGAATAATAATCACAGTAATAATGGTGATAGTAATGGCGGAGTATATCACTATATATACTCCAAGTCAGCAGATAGATAGAGAAACAGGATACATATCGATCTGATCAGTCCACACACACATAGATAATCTACCTACCTAGACAATCTACCCATCTACCGATCTACAACATGTCCCCCGCCCCCATCGACCCCCGCATCACCGACGTCGTCCAGCCCGAAAAGGCCACTCTCGACCTCCCCGCCCCAGCCCGCGCACGCCTCGAAAAAGCCGGCATCGACCTGTCGCAGGGCTATCCGTATAAGCCTGCCAGACCACTCTATCTCGACGACGTCTACCGCATCCGGGACTATGAGCGGCAGCACATCGACCCCGGGACGCGCGCTGATCCGGAGAAGAAGGCTCTTTTCGGAGCCGCGAAGAAAATAGTCCATCTCACTAGGCATATTGGTACGGAGATTGTTGGGCTCCAGCTTAAGGATCTTACCGATCAGCAGAAGGATGAGCTCGCGCTGCTGATTGCTGAGCGGAGTGTTGTCTTTTTCCGTGATCAGGATATTTCTCCTCAGCAGCAGAAAGAGTTGGGGGAGTATTTTGGTGAGGTTGAGGTTCATGTATGCACACACATACTCTCTCTCTTATATACATGTGTACTGTGTATGTGTCCTGCTAACTTCTTCAGCCACAAGCCGCCCAAGTCCCCGGCGTCCCCGGCGTGACGGTCATCTGGCCCGCACTGCAGGCCACCGAACGAGCAGCCAGCTTCCGCCAGCCCGGCGGCGCGTCGCGCTGGCATACAGATCTCGTACACGAGCGCCAGCCAGCCGGCATCACGCACCTGCACAACGACACGGTGCCATCGGTCGGCGGCGACACCGTCTGGGCCAGCGGGTACGCGGCGTACGAGAAGCTGTCGCCGGAATTCCGCAAGATCATCGACGGCCGCACCGCCATCTACCGGTCTGCGCACGCCTATCTCGACCGGAACGATCCCCATGCTGGGCCGAAGTACATCGAGCGCGAACACCCGCTCGTGCGTGTCCATCCTGTCACCGGCTGGAAGGCCCTCTGGGTGAACCGCGCCATGACGGTGCGCATTGTCGGGCTGGACCAGGCCGAGAGTGACCTGATCCTGGGCTATCTGTTCGACGTGTACGAGAAGAACATCGATATCCAGGTGCGGTTCCGGTGGACGTCGGGGACGAGTGCGCTGTGGGATAATCGGTTAGTCTTTTTCCACGACAGGGAGTAGCACATGCGCATTACTGACCTGACACAGAATCACCATCCACAACGCCAGCTGGGACTACGAGGGCAATGAGCCCCGGCACGGCACCAGAGTCACCTCCCTCGCCGAAAAGCCCTTCTTTGACCCCAATGCGCCGACGAGGAGGCAGGCGCTGGGGCTGTTGGGGCCGGACGAGTAGTACTGTGGATAGCATGGGAGACGGTAGTATGAATAAGATGACGATTGTGTTGATTAATCTGTCCATGCCTATCCACGAACATATTATTATTCGCATTAATGAATATGTAAATGACTAAGTAAGGTTCGTTCATGGTCGTCGATTTAGGAGTAGAAGACGAAGACGAGTATATCTAGCGCAGATGGTATCTTGTTGATTCTATGGTACAAGCAGTCAGATTCTATGCATGACGGGAAAAGGTAAAACACCTGCCAACCATATATGCACCCAAAATGAACACAACACAAATCCACGGACCCCGCCGACATTAATCCTTCACTTCGTAATCAAAATTGTACAGTCGTTCTACAGCTTCGACCGCACCTTGTCCAGCCCCGACGGCCCGTCGTAGATCTGCTGCTCGACAATGCGCGTGTTGATATGCTGCGGCCCCAGGTCCTCGACCCTCTCCACCCCCAACAACCGCATGCAGGTCTTCGTTTCGTCCGCGAGGATCTGCAGCGTCCGGCGAACACCCTCGACGCCCCCCGCGCCCAACCCCCACAGCGCGGGCCGTCCGATGCCGACGCCTCGCGCCCCCAGACACAACGCCTTGACCACGTCCGTCCCCCGGCGGATGCCTCCGTCCACCCACACTTCCAGCTTGTCAAACACCTCCGGACAGTACTTGCGGATCTCCAGCAGCGTGTGCACCGCCGGCGGAGCCGTGTCCAGCGCCCGTCCGCCGTGGTTCGACAGGATGATCCCCTTCACCTGCGGATGAAGCGACGCGATGTACGCATCCTCATGTGTCTGCAGTCCCTTCAGGACAATGGGCAGCTTGGTCTGCTTCGCCAGCCAGGGCAACGTCTCTTTCCACGTCAGTGACGGATCGGTGCCTGCAAACAGCTGCATGCCCACGCCACCACCACCGCCTTCCTTGAGAACCGGCGTGCCATCCGCCGCCTCCTCCTTTTTCACGGGACTCGTGGAGCTGGCCGCCCGGTCGCTGCGCTGGTCGTCCTCGCGCTTCCCCGGCACCGGCGCGTCGAGCGTCAGCACCACGCACTTGATCGCGGGGAGCTTGTTAATGCGCGCTAGCATGGCCTCGCTCTTCTTGCGGTCGATCTGGACGTACAGCTGCCAGCCAAACACCTGGTCGGGCGCGGCGTCCTTGACGATCTGTTCGGGCGACATGGACGCGTTGTTGGAGATGATCTGCATGGCGCCGAAGCTGCGACAGGCCTCAGCGATGCCCGCCTCGCCGGCGGGATGGGCCAGACGGGCCATGGCGGCGGGCGACACGTAGATGGGCATGCCGACTTTGTGACCCAGAAACGAGGTGGACAGGTCGCATCTCGTGACGTCGATGAAGACGCGCGGGCGCAGGAGGATCGAGCGGTAGACTTCGGTGTTGAAGCGTTTCGTGAGGAGGTCATCAGACGCGGAGTAGTAGTAGGCCCAGGCCTTGTGGCTGATCTGTTGGGTGGCCGCCTGCTCGATCTCGTCCATGTTCAGCAGGGTCTCGACGGGCGGCGGGCCCTGCTTCTGCTCCTCAGGCTGCTTCTCTGCGGTGGGCTTGGGCAGGGTTGCGGGGTCGACGGTCCCCAGCAGGGCCTCGGGTTTGAGGTTCTCCTCGAGAGTGCCAGGCGGGTGGATGGGGTCGTACTCGTCGGTGGCATCCTTGCCGGCCAGCTTCAGGATGACCTTGGCGCCGCCGGGATGACTGGACAGGAAGTCGGTGACCTAGCAGTGTCAGCATGGCGCGGCTCGAGATGCATAGGGAACGTACATCGTAGACTTTGCCGTATAGAATCACCCAGCAGCTGTCCGGGGTGTTGTGCTTGGCGACTGCGAGGTCGGTCAGTATGCGGACGAATGCGGGGAAAGAGGAGAGACGAGCCTTCAGCCGCATCGTACGTCTTCCCCATGGCGAGAATTGAAGAAGAGAAATCCAATTGTGTAGATCGTCAGCAGAACAGCATGGAGAGAGGAAAGAAAGAGAGAAGAAAAGAAGAAAATAAGAAGAAAGAAGATAGAAAGAAAAGACCGTCAGTCAGCTGATACGCGCCTTCCCCAGAGTAATTCCGCTAATCAGGAAACTGCGGAGAGCGGCAATTGACTCAATAGCCGACGCATAAATAGATCAGAATTGATAGAAAGAAGATAAAAAATTAAAAAGAAAAGAAAAGAAAAGGATAGGTGATATTTTGATCTATTTTATTTTTCTATTTATTTTTTAATTTATTTTTCTATTTTTATTTCTTAATTGATTTTAATTCTTTAATTTATTTTTATTTTTTAACTGATTTTAATATATTTTTATTGTTATCTTTTAATTTATTTCTATTTCTTTAATTTAATTTATTTTTTATTCTTTGTATTTTTTAGTTAATTCTTGTTTTCAATTGATTTTTTTAATTAATTAGACCTTACGAGTGCTGTTCTACGACTGCTGGTCTAGAATTCCTTCCGTCGGGCAACGGAATTCTCCCGGAAACCAACCGCCGACTCCGCATCCTCCAACTTCACCAGCATTCCTCTATACTCAATACTCTACAGATACGTACACTCGTACACTCTACTCTACTCTACACCATGTTCGAGGTATGTCTGTCTCCTTCCTGTCCTTCCCGTACTGACGCCTGCAGTGGCATGCCGCCGACCGCTACCGCCTGCGCATGCACCGCGCCCGCTCGGCCGTGCTCACCTCGGACGAGATGGTCGAGGTGCGCGCCGCCCAGCGTACCTTCGAGGGCGCCTACGTACGCACCGCCCTGGCCCAGTTCTCGTTCGCCCTGATCGTGCTCAAGGTCTTCACCGCCGAGTTCTACAGCATCGGCGCCCTGTTCGCCGTCTACGGCACCGGCGTGCTCCTGATCAGCCTGTTCCGCCGCCAGCAGGGCAACCGCCAGTTCTTCAGCGAGGTCGACGACGACGGCCTGCATCGCCGCAAGTTCCGCACCAGCGGCAACGCCGTCGTCGTGCTGACGGCCCTGAGCATCGCCGCGTATGCCTGTCTGATCGGCCTGACGCTGAACCTCCACGATTCGTGAGCGGATCGAGCTGAATCCGTGTACAACTACAACCGGTCAACCGCGCCAAGCGTGATACGGACGTCGCCCGCCAAGACGCCGTGATCGAGACAGGAGGAGCGGAAGGGTGGAATCGGACGGTGCAGCCAAGCCAGTGTCCGTCGCGTCTTCCACGGCGGAATGTTGCACAGGCTTGGCGTCGATCCCAGCTGTGACCCTTTCGGCCCCCGAGATCACCTCAGCTGGACACTTCAGCTGGATCATTTGGATGCCCAGTCTGGGCCAGCACACAGCATTCGTCCGGGTGGTCCGGATCGGAGTGATAAGGATCTTGGCGGAGTTCAGCTGCAAGGGGTCTGTCTCGAATCGACAGAAAACACGGTCTAGACGGAAGTTGGGAGATTGGGGGTCTGGTATGGGCTTGGCGGGCATAGTTCGCCGTCTTGTATATCAAGGAGTAGCTCAGCCGTCAGAGTAGGCTGTTCTGTATCTATCCTCTGCGAGAAACACGCCCTATTATCTTCACAATCATTTATCTGCCCACCTGCCAGCACAGCACTCCGCGATTTGTAGAGCCGATCAGTCCGATCAGTCCGCATGTAGCTCCGCCGGCGTCTCCCCGCAGAACCCGAACGTAGCCACACGGATCATCACGTTGTCGCCGATCCGGGGCCAGATTGGCGGAGACGTGAAGCCGTTGCGAATCCTGCGCGAGCTTCGCCTTTCTGGTCGAGCGCGAGTCTGGGTCTGCTCCACAGCGCTGGCGGTGACTTCATCGACCCAGCTGGTGGCTGCTGGCCAGTCAGTCATCGCCTGCCTGCGTCTGGCATCTCTCTTCTCGCCCCCGAACCCTGTTGCTTCTCCTTTGTCCTTCCTCATTAATCCTGCAGATTCAGCATCGACTCCTATAAAAGCGAGGTCAAGGGCCTGTTGTGTGTGTGCTGTCATCGGTCGACGCGGAAGGCCCTTGGACAGGATTCTTAGGTCAGCGGCAACGCTCCGCCGCCTGACTCATCGATCTCCAGCTTGAGTAAACGACCTCTCCTCGTTTACATCGCTGAGAATCAGTCTCTTATCGCCTGTGAGATCTCCTGTCTGTCGCCTATCAGCAGCTGCACACCTTCTCTTTCTGTTCTCTTCTGTTCGAGTGACCTGGCACCCCACTTCTGCCAGCAGCGAGCATCTGCTGCGGCGGGGACCTGCACTCGCCATCCCCATGACTACGAGTCTTGCTTCGTCACCGCAGCAGCAGCAGCAGCCACCGTATAACAGCCCGCCCAAAACGGTCGTCGGGCGAGCGCTAGGCAATGAGCTGCATCCCGATGCCCACAAGGTCGCGTCCGGCCAGTCTTCGCATCGCCCGTCCAAGGACGGGGTTGGCACAGCTCTGACGGACACGCCGATTTCTACCGCCCCCAGCTCGCCGCAGATGTAAGTACAAACTGCTTACTATGGATCGTTGGATCGATGTCCCCGCTTGGCCTGTTAGTCGGGTGTTAAATCCGCCGGCAGATCTGCTGCAGCGTGCCATCCCGATGGTGCGACAGCGGATCTGCAACCCCATCTCCCAGACCCTTTTTAACGCCATTTTTTCTTCTATTTTTTTTAATCTGATGCTGTTTGATAACACGTACTGACCCTGCAGCCATGCGCAACCGCCAACGTCTGCTCCCACTCCCCACAAGGTGCGCGCCACCACCCTCGACATCCCCGGCCTCACCCGCTCCAAGGTCTCGCCTGATGGCCGCATCCCCGAGCGCGATCTGGGCTCCAAGCTCGTCATCATCATGGTCGGCCTGCCCGCCCGCGGCAAGAGCTACATCACCAAGAAGATGGCCCGCTATCTGAACTGGCTGCAGCACGATACCCGCATCTTCAACGTCGGCGAGCGCCGCCGTCTGGTCGCGGGCGGATCGCCGTCGCCGGCCAAGGCGCGCGCAAAAGAGCGCTCCCAGAGCTCGATCGACCAGGCGCTGGCCGAATCCGTCCGCCGCATGAGCGTCAGCGCCGACACGCGCAGCCCGGAGTCCCAGTCCCCTGAGCGGCAAGAGTCGCTGCCGCCGCCCGTCGTTCCGCCCGCCCAGATCCTTGTCAACGGC